ACACTTTCATCAACAATGGCGAGAATTACGAATCTATTTTACCCCTCATGAGCACAAAACTGCAAAAATGCATGCAACAGAAACTGTCTGTGGCGCTTACAAAAAATTTCCCACAGAAGATGTACGTCTACACGGCACATCCGTACAGATCATCGCATATCATATGTAAGTGGTCGTTTTGCCCCCTTACCTGCCACCTCTGCATGTATCCTGTATTATGTACATCAGGGTTTGAGGGGAAGATCGTAGAATTATTCAAAGAGAAGTTCGCCACTCCCGACTATCGAGAACCAGTAGTCTACTAATACGAGTTTGGAAGATATATTTATTTCTCGGGGTAATTGAGTTTGTCGACATATCTCTTGCCCGAGGATATGGCCTCAACCATGGTCACGAGACCACCTATCAAAGCTGTCCCCATCTTCTAGAATCAACAATTAGATCATCATTATGAAACATGCTCAAAGTCCAGACAAGGGGGGAGGGGATGAGGGGGCCCTTGTCGCGTTTGAGTCGATTCCAGTTGCACCGATCCTGAATCCCAGCGATACGCCCAACCCCCCCCTGCATAGAATCGTTTGATTCCATCATCGATCAGCCCTCCAATACCCCACCGTCGTGCACCTACCTACTGTCTGCCTTCAAACCGTTTTTGACGCATCCTACTGTCGTTGGCCTTTTCTCTCCTTCCCATGTCTTAGAATCTCTAGTGGGCTGTGCATTAGCGCCTGTTCTGCACAGTACACTGTACATCCCATCTCCAGAATGTAATGCACATACCAAGGAATATCCCCCGAATTGCCTGTTTCTAGTGACCTGCAGCCCTGGAGCTAAGGCAGCCTTTGCCGCTGGGTGTGCTTCCCACTGGATATGGGTGTTTGCTGTTGTGTTGCTGACGCTGCATCCGCGGTGGGGACCTGATCCCCAGCTAGAACCTCTTAGCGCATCCCTTTGAGAAATCCGCATAACGGGAACGTTAAGCGCCCTGTTTGTTGAGATTCTAAGGATCTTTTTTTTTTTCAGTTATCGCTGTCTTCTATTTTTATTCGGTTTGTGTGTTGGTGATTGTTGAATGTAGAAGATGTACGTATGCATCGTCAGCAGATATCCACTCGGTTTGATACCGACGTTGTCTGTGGAACTAGTCTGGTACTACGGGTAAAATATATCCAACATGTATTTTTTTTCATGCTGCATGATGGGTCGGTTTGTTATAGTACCACGCCAATTGGGAGATATTCACTACTGATGCGCTGTTATGTGTCTCTGGAGAAAGCTGTGGTGCTTTTGAGAAGGACTTTGTTGGGGGAAGTGATTCGTCTTAATTTGTATGTGTAGTTAGGATGGTAAATGTCCAGAGTCTGCGTCTGCGGCTGTAGGTTGTAGGGTTTTACTCCTCAAGGGAAATGCGAGAATGTATGTCGAGTTCTTATGTATATCGTCTCTATCACAGGTTCTATTAGTATCAAGGGCGATGCCAAATAGTCTAGAAGGTGTCCACGGTATCTCTGAAGATATATTTCTTGTCGCAGGGTTTACTTGCATAAACGTCCAGTGGGAGTTTGCATACCAAAGCGACAATAATTCCACTCTCAACTAAACACATCTGTGAGAGAGTAGATGCTGCCTTTGACTATTTGTTCTCAACGGGCAGAAAGAAATAAAGAAAAGAAGGATGCCACATACGTAGAGTAGGCATTAACAACCAAGCTTCCAAAGCATATCATCGTTCTTATCAACTGGGATCAAAGCCATTGAGTCCTCAGGCATACCTCGGCTTTGTAACAACTATTGGCGTATTTGTTGCTGTGCAGCCGTCGAGTCCAACGATGGAAGCTAGTCAGTGATGCCTCAATTTGTTGATGAAAGCGCTATTGTAATTCTCTTAATAGCAGTGAACGGAAAACGATCGTGAGGTCTCGTGCTTTCCAGGGAAGGATAGCACGCACAAGTATATGGATGAGGAAAATGCAGAAAGGATTGGAGCAAGTGGAAGAAGACGTATCTGCTGGATTTCCGTATGCGGTGTCCTCCGTCCAACATAGGGCTGGGATCAAACATGCTAAGGCAGCGTAGATGACATTGATATGTCGCGAGTGCTTGCAATCGTGCAAGTTTAGGCGACTTCGGCAAATGATAAACACCCTCCTGTTTATCTTTGGCCTCGTTCAATGGATCTAAAGGCAAGGCAAATACCGTATACAACACTTCCCCCTAGAATGATGAGCCTCCAGTATTCACTACCGTTATACTGCTGGATAGCTCCTGAAGGTGGTATCCTATCAACGTACCAATGTTAACAATGGCATATGTAGCTCCGATTCTTTCCCAAAATCCTCTACTTCACATACTCTAGAAACACTGATAGCCACTCCACTGAAAAATCCAAAGGAAACAGCGTAACAGATGATGGTAGACATGCCCTAACCGTTGAGCACTACTAGACTCTGCAGCACAGATAACTCAGACCAATAACCATTTACAGGGAATAAGGCTTTCCAAAACCAGTTGATTTCAATTATCTACGACTCCTTTTCGTCACCTCCTCCACCAAGTACTCATTTACTGGCGTCCTCACCCCGACCTCCCTCCCCCTCCTCACCCAATACCCATTAATGAACCTCACCTCCGTCTCGCGTCCAGCCCTCAGATCCCACACCATCGAACACGTCGTCTCAGCCGTCTTAGTCAAAATCGCATTCACTGTTGCCTCCAGCCTATCCACAGCAAACCGCTCCTTTACACCCGCAACATCCCTCAACTCCGGTAACGCAAGCACGACGTTCGAGATCTCCGTAAGAATCTCCCTGCGCGTGTCGGGGATGGTGAACAGGAACCCATTCTTCGCATCATTCAAGGCACAAAGGGGGTTACAGAAGGCATTGACGGCTAGTTTCTCGAGCTGGATCTGTAGGACTTCCGCATAGGGGTATGATGTTGCGTTCAGCCGGGGCGAGAGGGGGAGATTATCGAGGAGGTATGAACATGAAGACTCCCGGGAACGGGGTGCTTCTTGGGAGCGAGGAACTAGTCCCAAGGACATCGCCGCGAAGCCAGTGTGCGTGACGTTGAATGGTCGGTTGAGCGTTACGCCGTGCGAGATGACTCCTATGATGTAGTTGGGTCGTGTCTCCGGGTTAGGGAACAATGATTCGTTGACTTCATCGATCATGCCGCTGCCGTTTTGGAGGAAGAGGATGGTGGAGTTAGCGTCTAGCCGGTGCTTGAGGGGTTGTAGCGCTGAAACGGTTTGTGTTGCTTTGACGCTGATGATGAGGTGCGTGATGTTGGTGCTTATGGCTTCTGAGGATGGTGATGAAGGCTCGGCGTACCATCCCCTTTCCCGGTATACTTCCAGATCATAGCCACGGTGCCTGATTTGGGATCCTTCGCGTGTTGTAAGTAGGATTTGGTTTCCGTTCTCCTGGAATCCGCCTAGTAGCGATTCGCGATGGAGAAGGAGAGTGACGGAAGGCCTGTTGGGGATTTCGGACAGACCATGGGCGGTAAAGGTGCCGATACTTCCAAGTCCGAGGACGTGGATCCTTGGTGGTGACTCTGAATGAGGCATAGAAAAGGATCGTGTCATTGAATGGTAGGTCTTTGAGACTCGTGGTAAAGGCGATGTCATGAGCCCGTGCTTGACACGGAACAATCGCATTGAGAGTGGTATAAAGAACTCGATGTTTCAGACATTTCCTTCAGCAGGCTAGCCGAATTCCAATGCAGGTTTATAATCTTTATAAACAATCACCGAAGCCATAGGGCATGCATAGGGTGTATAGGACTGTCTTCAAGAACTTCGATTCGGGTCGGTTTCCCGAAGCAGAAATGTGCCGGCCGTGCCCTACGCCCTACGCCTCTCGGAATAACAGCTTCATCATCCATCTCTGCGTTTAGGATAGAATTTATGCTGGACTCGAAGCCATTTACGAATTCTCAGTGGATTCATGGGAGAGGCGAAGTAGCACCTCTGCCAATCACTTTTGAGTTGGCGTAAATTTTCTATCGCCGCCTTGCGCCTTACGCCTTGGACGCCCTTTTTATCTTTTGCTGGATCTCCCTAGTCACGGTTGACACACGCAATATGTTCCTACCAGAAGAGCTGGAGAGTTTCATCACTCGATGGCAACTGAGGTGATGAAGGACAGCGATTCGAGCATGTTGTTAGCGATCCCTTAGACCGTCTCCAAGGTGTCACTATTACAAAGCGCAGTTGTTTCCATTGAGAGGGTTTGTTATTAACAAGTATTTCTTGATTGTTTACCGTATTATACTAGATTCACGATCACCAATAAGCCAGATTCTTGCCTTGACCTACTGAGGATGTCTCTTGACGAGTCCCACCCCCTTCAATTCATCGGTGGCCAGCCTTCTCGCCCACCTAGTCTCAACAAACTTGACGTTTTGAAACTCCAAGTCGCCTGAACCGATGAACCAAAGTCAGTCCCTACAAGAATGATTCAGAATTAGCCACCCAAAAGCTATTCACGGATAGTATGGCCGCGCGGTGGTTTGCAGCATCAGGATGGGAGGCACCATAGTCCATACCCCATGGATCTCTTGTGCTAGAGTCATCTGCGAGTGTGGAGATATGAAGGCCAACCGGGGTTATATGGGAAGCTACGTCCATTCTATCTCCGCCATTTGAATTTCCCTACCTGGTGTTGAGCCCGAGCAACTGTCATGTGCGCTGGACGGACATGGATGGTTGCCTTGGAATCGTGCAGGTTCCTTGCTCTGCATCCGGCCAGCCCTTGTGGGTGTGGATGGCGGCTTAGGCTTCTAGGCTCTTCGGGGTGCTATTCTGTGTGTCATCGTTTCGTACTGGCCATACCTCAAGCCCTCCTCAAATCCATCTATATCGGCCGGCCAAGGTATCCGCTTACCAGTGCTATTGACAGGTCCGGGTTTGGCCAGGCGGGTCAGAGTCTGCAAAGCCACTGAAAACTATGAGTTCACAACCCTCGCTAACAGCAAGCGAATAAAGAGGGCTGCAGTCAGAGTTTGTGGTTATTTGGGTCTGATATCCAGGTCACAGAAGCAAGGTCGACGAATTTCTTTGGGATTTGGAGAACTGCAGAGGGAAAGCTACAGTTGGTCACCCGGACGTGGCGGATACAGCGGAAGGGGAAGAGGGAGAAGAGATAAGTACGGAGGATAGTTTGCACTTAACATAGAACAGTATTTTAGTGAAAGGTGAGCAAATTAATTCATCTCCCTATACCACTCTGAGGGATGTCTTCCAGGTGGTGATCTACCGACTCTACCCCTCCAGATCTGGGCTCGATATTGTTCCTCTCCCCACAGTGTAGATGTCGAAATGCAGAAAGCCATTCCGGGTTATCAGCGATAGTCTGATTCCACGAGTCCTCGGAATCGTAAAGCACTCGTCTTGCTTCCTGTTGGAACATATCGTCTGTAGGCATGACACCCTGCTTGATTTTCTCTTGGGCATAGTGACTTAAATGCAGTGTAAGGACCTGCGTAAAGGAGCTGAGCTCCGACATGGAAATGTTTGGCTTAGCGGCAGCCTCTGCTTGGGCATCTTCGGCAACTTTGTCCGGGCTCGCCTTCTGCTCTTCAGTAAGATAATGGGCACGCGACGAGATCTGCACAAAATGATCCTGAACGTGTGTGTTGGTCGCAGAAAACGGAATCAGACTCTGAGACTCCTCTGCTATCAGATAAGGGGGTAAAGAGTTCGTAACCTGAGCAGCAATGGAGGGTGGAAACCCGTGGTCACCTTTCCAATCTTTCATTGTAGCATTTTTCCGAAAGTGTTCAGCCAGGTGGTCAACTCGTTGTTCCCAAGTATCCATACTGTGCTCACAGAACCCACAACGTGACGGGACAGCAGAATGTGAAATCTTCCAATCATCGATGAGAGGCAAAGTGTCAATATTATGCATGAGACGCAGATGTTGCACTAGATGATCTTTGCGACGAAAGGAGCGGGGCTTGCCAGAGTCACCATGGCATACATTATGGTTGTGCTGATCGAGGTGTGCTGCACTAGGATCTAGTGCGTTACAAAACACACAGTGTTTTCTTCCTGTCACTCTTGAAAAGACGGCGGCCCCATGGGGAGCGCAATACCACGCCTCCAAATTCAGATGGAGTGATTTCTCATGCCGAGCCCAGTCATATCTGCTCCTGAACTTATCACAACAGAAGGTACAGCAAAATCGCCGAGGCTTATCAGTTTTGTCTCGTGCCTGCACGGTATTTTTGCTGGTCCGGCTTTTAGAGATACGGCTTAAAGGATCATCAGAAGGAGAATGTGATAGGGCGGAGCCGAAAGACGCATTTGATGAGCCACTAGATTCGCCGCTTGTTGCGGATGGAGCTCGCCTATAATGGCGGAACACATTTTGCCCTGTGTTGTGTGTAGCCGGGCGGCTGCTCCTTTGAGTCGACCGCTGGGTTGGTGTTTTTTCAAGGCGTCCAGAATAGCTGATATAGACGCCGGCTCATCCTCTGGTGGAGACTCACGCCATCTCTCCATGGGACCCATTGCATTCGCATTTGGGATAACAATCGGGCCGCTCTGTTGATCCTGCCGTCGGATTAGATAGCGGCTCCTGCGCCGGGGGAGACCAGTACGAGCGCTGGAGGGTATTTTGGGCTGTGATATGTTAGTAGGCTCAGATTCCTCGGCACTGACGCCTGGCTCAGTCGCTGAAGTGCCGTCGGCCATGGTGCTTGATGAGACATTGGGACGAGCACTGTGTAGTTGTTGGAGGTCTGAGCCAGTAGATAGCCACGCAGTTCTGTCAATAAAGCCATCCCCAGATAACACTAGTTGATTTTCACTGTCCAGATCATGATCTAGAAAAGTGGGCAGTGGTACCAAGTGTTGATCAAGTTGTTGATCGATCTCCAATGGGTTGATAGGGTATAGCTCAGATGACGTTGGTATATACGGGAAAGAGAAGTCAAGCAAGCTGGGATCCAAGGTCAAGCTGACTATTGGAAAATAGTAAGTCAACGGCTCTTGTTTTCTGTAGCTAGACTTAGACTGACCGTCATCTCCCATATCACTCACCGTGAGCGAGTTGACATCCTCCTGCTCGCCTGGGCGATGCCCATGTGACATTGTATTCCACAGCCAGCCACGTCTGCTGGTAAGACAAACTACTACCTACTTACTTTGACTTCATGCATCAGCTGGGTCAAATGTAGCTCTGGAGTGGCGTCCATAAAACGCAGATATTCGGAACAGTCCCTCCATTCACCGCCTTCCTGTCGCAGAAACATGCCCACGTGAATCATGTCAGTCTGATTGAGTTAACAGGGTTTGAAAGCCAACACTTTCTCAACTATATTGATATTCACGATAGACATATCGGTATGGAAGTACTGGGAATCTCACATTGCATTATCAATCATCTATCATGTATGATCGCATACTACGTTCGTGAAAGAGCGGAAATCAGATGTTCTGTATAGATTAGTAATTGTGCCAATGGCTGACTTAGGGCTTGGGCTGGCAAAGGCTATTCTGTATATAGTATCGTCACCAACTACACCACCAACATTAGGTGGTTGATCCCTAAATGTATATAGTAGTATAGTAGTATAGTAGTATCTTCCTCTAAAATATAAAATTTAATTAAGATTAAACAAACATTTAACTATTGAACTGGACTTTATATAGCATGTTTTCCATCTTGCAGCATGATCTTCGGGGGCCGCTCCTCCTGGTCTACATTCACACGCACCGGTATGGAATCCAAGCATGGCCGCCGGCGTTGATGATGATTATATACCGTAAGACATACTCCTTAGAATGACTATTGCTATCTACAAATTAGAAGATACTTTCTGAACGGGAGATAGGCTGGAGATAGGGCCGGCTAAGTCGGCGACACTTAGTGGGCCAGCCTGCAGGGGTGTTAGCCAATAGTGGATGCAATGATGCCAGGAATTCTTTGTCTATTAGATGTGGTCCGAGCGGTTTGGCTTGCCGATCTTAGTACTTATATTATTCCGAGCCAGGATAGCACCATTAGGGAGTCCGTGGTGGCCTAGACAGAATATGGTGTGCTGCAGGGATATGCTGAGCCTGCCCATGAGGGCAGGCTCTGGGATATCCCAAGGCGCCCGGGTTTGGTCTCACAACATTCTGCTAAGTTCACATTTCAGTTTGTTGCGATCCTGCGTCCTTTTATTCTGTTGACCGCGATCTTGTTCTGGTAGGGATAGTCTTATTGACAGCAGCCGCTGCGACTGGCAATGCCATTTACCTGTATAGTATGGGGGGAAATGGCGAAAAAGCTATCCAGGCGACAGACCCTAATATCCAGCCAATTTCCACTGAAGAGGCATTAGGGGGTAGTAATGAACCAATGGATTTCCGGCCGTGGCAGCAGTTGCCCGTGTTTTTTGCGATGGGGCTTGGGATTTTTATTTTAGGCTTGCAAGTATTAGCGTCGCCGTCTGCAGCACATCAGCTGACTCGCAGGACTACAGGACAATACCATCGTGGGCACAGCAACTCCCACCTTGACCAATGAATTCCATTCATTGACCGATATTGGATGGTATGGCTCAGCATGTACGTGATATAGGCTCATTTGGGATCTAGTATCGCCGATCCTGGATCACTAGCTGACGAGAGCCATAGACCGACTTACAACATGTTCAACGCAGTTTCTTTTTGGAAAGCTATACGAGCAATTCCGGGTAAAATGGGTTCTTGTTATGGCGGTGGCCATCCTTGAAATCGGGTCCATTGTGTCTGCCTCAGCGCCGAGTTCAGCTGCGTTCATCGTCGGAAGGGCCATCGCGGGCTGTGGCTCCTCTGGGATCCTTAACGGGGTTTTAATGTCAGTTCTATCCCTCTTGATCTAGCCGACCATCTTTTGATACTGATTGCTCGTGTGCCAGAGCAATTTCCCATACAGTTCCGCTTCGCTGGAGGCCGATATGCAATAGCACTGTCGGAGGCCTCGAGTGCATTGCAATGATCGTCGCACCGGTGATTGGAGGTGCCCTTACAACCTACGTCACATGGCGATGGTGGTGAGTACTGCAGATCTTGTCTGGGAGAACCGGCTTCTGACACCCCTTGCAATGTGGTAGTTTCTGGCTCAACCTCCCTGTGGGTGGATTCACAATGGTTGTGATTGTCTTCCTCTTCAAGAATCCGGAGAATCAGAAAGTTACCGAGGAGCCATTCTTAACCAAAATCAAGCAGCTCAACACTATGAGTCTTCTCATATTCACTGGAAGCGTTGTTTGTCTCCTGCTAGCGCTCCAATGGGGTGGCACTACATACAGCTGGGGCAGCGGTAGAGTTATTGCTGTCCTGGTAGTCGCCGCAGTATCATTTGGAGGTTTCATTGTTTTCGAGGTGTTGAAGAAAGATGACGCTACAATTCCTCGATCTGTGATACTCAACAGAACTGCCGGTCTATGCTTAGTCTACGCCTTCTGTTCATCGGCGGCCTTTAACGTTATCGATTACTTTGTAAGTCTCCTGACTTGATGCCATTCGCGATGGTGAGCTTAACATGGCTAACATACCTCAAAGCTGCCCATCTGGTTTCAAGCGATCAAGGGTGCTACAGCAGCTAAATCCGGGCAAATGCTTCTTCCTTCCATTATTAGCCTTTCCATTGCCGCAATCAGCTCCGGCTTCATCGTCTCTGCCATTGGATATTACACACCTCTCATGTTGCTGGGTTCCACAATGATGGCCATTGGATTCGGGTTCCTAACAAGGTTCACCCCAAAGACCACAGATTCTGCCTGGGTCGGATGGCAGGTCATGTTTAGTATCGGCATCGGGCTGGCATTCCCCCAACCTTGGTCGGCAATTCAGACTGCGCTTGACGCCAAGGATATCCCCGTTGGTATGGCGGCGGTTGGCTTTTCCATTAGTTTCGGTGCTGCAATTTCTATTTCCGCGTCGCAAAGTATTTTCACAAACCTCCTTCGAGAGGGTTTGTCTAGTGTCCCTAGTCTAGACGTTGGCAGCGTCATAGAGCAGGGAGCGACGGGCTTTCTGAAGAATGTACCTGCATCAGAGAAGGAACGGGTGATTGCGATCTACAACTCGGCTGTCACAAGAGCTTTCTGGGCCGGTGTCGCGGCGGCCTGTGTGGGGATGGTGGCTGCACTCTGTATGAAATGGAATTCTGTGAGAGGGGCCAGGAAGGAAGGCACGGTGGAGGAGTAACTAAGATGTTTTGATGCTTTACCATGAGATACCTATATAGAGAAAGGATCTAATCTTTTTGGAAAATCCGACTTAAATAACGATAAGCATTGATAACATCATATGACCTACCGGTGATTGGCCCGTCGGAGTTCGGCGCCTCCACTCCGGCAGAAATTCCAATGAATCAGTCAATCATGCGAAAAGATCGCGATATCAGATTCATCTCTGGCGTCGAAATTATGGTCTGGCTTCCGGGTTTCATGCCGTAATCCTCAGTGGAGGCTAATTTTCCTGCCCAACCATGCACAATGAGCAAGCGTTCATACCAAGAGTCATTCTCTCCCGGTGGCTCTCAGCCGCCGGAGCATATCGATAACAGTCATAATGGTTTATTACCTATCAATGACCTTCTCTCACCCACGCAAGACCAGTCACAGTCGGCAGCCTCGAGCAAAAAGCCTCGGAATTTTATTGCCACAGTCGTAAGTCTTCCTTGACGTCTCCAGTTGTCATTTCCCCGTTCCCCGTTTAACCCCGTACAATAGGCATGCGAAACATGCAGGCTCAAAAAAGACCCGATGCGACGAATCCCGACCAAAATGTGGTCTGTGCAAGTCCCTCGGTCTAGAGTGCGTCTACAACGAACGCAAATCGTCCAAGTACGTAAATTTAGTAGCGTATTAGCTCCCAATTGCGTTTTACTAACGTGGCGCAGACGAGACCACTCGCTCAGCTTGATCATGAGCACGCTCCATCGAATGGAGACCAAACTAGAAAGTCTTCCGTCATCCATCTGTAATGATTTACAGTCACGTCCGAGGCCCATTCCTCGAACTATTGATAGCCCATTAGATACGAGCACCCCAGGCCGCAGCAGTCAGGGTCTCAATGTCCGGACGTCTGTTCCGAATCCCCTGGCACAGGGCCTTACTCCTGACGCTATAGAACACGACGATTTTGAGTTTGATGAGCATCAAAAGGTCACAAACTCGAACGGGCTAGTATCAATCTCCTTCAGTCAGCATGGGGTGATCCTCTGGCCAGGGGCCCGGGATATTCTCCCCAAGAGACTACTCGAAGCCCATGAAAGACTGGGGAAGAACTACGTTATCGACATGGAGGCCAAAAGACCTCAGCTCCCCATGTACATTTGTCCATATCCTCCACAGGCTGGTGATGACTGGCTAGAGTCACTTCCGCTGGCAATGATCAAAGGTCTCTCTGATGCATTTTTTGCCACGCTCAATCCTTTCACCCCAATCATGGATAAGAATTTCTACTTCGCGTTCACAATCTGGGCAGCAATTGAGAGCGGATTCGGCTACACAATAGAAAGCTGCCTAGTTTTGAATATTTTAGCATTGGGCTGCCATGCTGTTCAGGCTCATCAAGAAGGGAATTATCCGCTACCTGGTACACGGAGCAATCGTTTTGAACCGCCAGACTGGATGGCGGTGATCCATGAGGAGCCGCTGGGCCTACGTTTCTTCAATGAGGCACGTCGACGCATTGGCTTCTTGATGTGCGATAACGACCTTCAGAGCTGTCAATTCTATATGCTGTCATCGTACGCGACCCATGTCGTTACCGTCCCGGGCTATTGGCTAATTAGATAAATAGAGTCTATTACAGCCAAATCCTCCGTCCGATGGATGCGTGGGCTATGATTCACCGCGCTGCTACGTGCTGTCTCCAAATGATGACCAAGTGAGTCCATCAGGTTTACATCTTCACTCTGCGCTTTACTGACGGATACCTCTAGCCACGACGTCAATTTCGATGAATGGGAGGGTGATATGAAGTCCCGCGTATACTGGAACTGCTTAATGAACGAGACCATCCTCGTGCAAGAACTGCATCTCCCTCCCAGCGGCCTAGCCCGACTCGAGGAATTCGTGCCTATTCCAAAGTTCATCAGCTTCGAAACTGTTGGCTTGGTACCTCCTCGATCTGCCTCACAAGAGCTAGACGACTCCTTCTTTCAATACCATTTCCTCGCGCAGGTCGCCCACCGCATCATCCTCACTCGCATCCGCCACTCACTGTACTTCTACTGTAAGCCACAGACCACTCAGTCTAAATCCAATATCAAAGCTAACAGTACAACAACAACAACAGCCGACTCAGGGACCTTCCCACTCCCAGCTATCAACGCAGAGCTCCACCACCAACTCGAGCAATGGCGTCTCAACCTCCCACCCGCCATCCAATTCCAAGATACCCACGCAGCCACCCCAGCAAACCCCAACAACGCCACCACAACCCCCATCACGTCGCCGTCAACACCCATCTCCCCCCTCCCTCTAGACCCTAACCGGCCACTCTCCCCCGCAACCGCCGTCTCAGAAGCCATGCTCCGCGGCCGCTTCAAGATCGCCAACTTCCACATCGGCCGTCCATACCTCTACAAAGCCCTCCGCATCCCGGCCTCCCTCTCGGAAGACGACCTCGAACAAGTCCGCAGCGGCCTCCAAAACGCCATGGACTGGCCCGTCGTCGGCGGCATCTTCCAAAACATGAAAAGCTGTATTCCGATTAAGTTTGCCTTTTGTTCCCAGTATGTTCTTCCCCCCCCCCCCCGGCTTTCTTCTCGAATTATCTTCCAGTTTCGTCAAAATGGACTAGCAAGAAACTGATTCGATGTAGATTCTTCGGCCAGGTCCTCCTCTTCTATTGTATCTCTCATTCCCCGGATCCACGTCTCCGGAGTACCCTGCCCCCGGACTGGGAGCGGTGGAGTCAGGAAATGCTGCAGTTCTTGGAAGATTGTGCGCCGTTTAGTCCTGCTGTTGCGAAGGATTTGGAGCTTTTGAGGCTTTTATGATGACTACCATTCTCTTTCTTCTTGTTCTATTCCTTTTTCCCCCCCTGGTGGTTTACTGTCTTGGTTGTGAGAGGACTGGGTGGTTGGTTGGTGGTTATGTAGACTATCGTCTGTTGATTTTCTCTAAATTATATAGAGTATTGGGTAATGTTCAATGTCAATGTCTGGGTTACGTGCGTATAGGCGGACTTCTGGATTGGGATATATTCTAACAACTTGTAAGGCAATGGTATAAACATAACGGATTCTTTCATGCGGAAGTCGGTGGAACGACGTCCGTCAAATCGGAAAGAGAAACACTCCAGGATATAACTCATAAATAAAACGATAACAGAGGTGGGAATTACATGGAAACATTGCTCTCACAATGCCCAGTCGTCTGCCGCGTCAGAGGCCGTTATGAATGGCTTGTCGATTTGTTTGAGCGCATGGTCTCCGCAGAGAATACTATTCATGAGTTAGCTGCAAATTTGCTCTTTCTGTCTGGTGGGAAGGGGTAGGTATTTACCAAGCCTCTGCTATCAAGCCATCTAATTCTTTGACTATCTCCTCCCGTCGAGATGAACTTATGTCACTGTTGTTTAGCTGCGCTTGCAGATCCCGTATATACTTCTTTTTGCCACCGGCTCCCTCGAGCACCTCCTTCCCCAAGCAGTCGCTATGGAAGGCGTGTTGACATGGGAAAACGAAGAATTGCCGACTCAGAACAGGGAGTGAACAAAGCCAACACTTTTCTCCAGGTTCCACGATGGCGTAGCGCATATCCAAAGCCGCGATTTCGGATCGGATCTGTCGCGCTGTATGTGCTGAGTTATCCATTTCCTGGCGCAGGGCGTCAATATGCCGGGAGTAATCTTCCAGAGCACTGCATATCTCATCCTTGAAGTCATCGATGACAACAAAATCTGGAAAGAACGGAATCAAGTCTTCGATGCGGAGGAGTTCGCATCGGCGAAGGAACTCAATAGCGTCTTTAATGCCGGTTCCAGGTTGTTGAATCTTCTTCTCGGCCACGAGGAGCCATAATTTCTTCCGAAGCTTATCGTTCCCCTCCGGTCTGTCAGCAATGATAGCTGCTAGCTCAATATCTTCATGCTGCAGAGCCAGCTCTACTGCTTGGAGATACTGTCCCATAGCGCTGTAGATGTGGATGCATGACTGAAAGCGCTGGTGTTGAATACAAAGACGAAGGGCAAAATCCGCATCGTAAGGGGGTGGAGATGAAGCTTGTGACTGAAGATAGGTTAAGAGCCCTGCTTCCGAGGAGGAGATACTCGAAGCATGTATTGATATGAGTGTGTTGTGCACTGCCGGTGAGGGGTTTGGGTGGTTGACGATGATGAAATTGAGGTATCGGACAGCTTGGTTCTGGTTAAGCGGAACATTTGACATCTTATTGTAGTTCAGCAGAGCAGGTATAAGTTTTTCGGGGTCAAGGTTCGTCTGTCGCATCAAGATATCGACCAAACCAGTAGCAGCATGGGTCATAAGCACACTGCTGTATTTGTAGAATACGTCAGGGTCACTTTGTCTCTGGAGAACATTCAGAGCCTCTGGCCATTTCTCGCGTTGGATCCAGTAAGAAAGCACATAATTGTGGTCACTGACGGCTGTGGCGAAATATAGCAGCTCCTCTTCCCGACCGTGACTACTGATTATGCCGTACACCGTCTTCTTATCGAGGTCGGACTTATACTTGGTGACGAACTCCTGAAACTCAGAACGGACACCACTGAGTTGGCCTTTGATATCTTCAGTGCTTGTTCCCTCTGCCACTTCCGCGTTGGTGGCCATGTTATCATCCAAGGAGTTCAACTTGGTCATGAACACCTCTACCAACCAGCTTGCAACCATTATCCGCTGCATTGACGATGATTTTTTGTAGGTTGATAACTGGCCAAGAAGATACTTTCGCAAAGCGTCGTGCTCCCCGCCATTAATCAGAGTCAAACAGACCTCCTCGAACCCCTTGCTACTCTTACCCCAGACTTTGGCCGCCTCCAGATATCGGCCCTTGCTGGCAAGAAAGTCACCTGAAGCAGTGGAGACCACATCCTTTTGTGTGCTGGAGCGAGCGTAATGAAGGGCCTCATCAAACATCTGTTTCTGCAGAAACACCTTCCAAATATCTCTGTCCTCGTCCTCGACTGCGATCTCGAAGATTTCTTGATTGGTGAACAACCAGTAGGTTTGTTGTGTAGAGTCTGCCAAGAGACCCAGCGTACTCTGTCCCGGTTCCAATACAGCCTGGTCATAAACGATCTCTTCGTTCATGCGGTTCACGGCAATAACTCTACCCTCGACGAGGGCTAGAATATGCCACTGCGAAAGCGTCATAGCAGTAATAGGATTCTGAATAAGCCTTTTGCCTCCTCGCGCAGATTCAGTAGCTGGAAAGAATGACCGCGAAAGCATATTCGCAGTCTCAAAGGGTTGGTTCACTTTCTCAGAAGAGTATGGAAGCTGGCCATGATATACACCTTGGGAGCTAAGCCACGCAAACTCCTTCGCAGTGTTCCCATCCGCAGCGCTTGGTGATATGGCCAGGGCTGAAGGTGCAGCGTTTGAAGCCTTTTGGGCCTCGTGCACTAAAGGGGTTTCTCGTTGGAAGAGATCGGCGTATATAGAGCCCCCGCCTTCTCTTCCATGTCTTCCCGTCCGCCCTATGAAATATGTTAACCTTCCATGGGTCGCTATCAGCACGCGCCTCTGCTCCGCCTGAGTTTGAACTAGCTCCGCCCAAAGTCCTGTCACCGGCGAAGCCTCCGGCACTTTATACACAGCGGTGGCGTATCTTTCCTCGCGGCGATAGAACTCGGTGGAGGGCTCGATATAAGCCTCGTAGATATGGCCATCTGTAGTTCCTAGAAGTATCTCCCTAGTAGAAGCGGTCGGAAGCGATGGGTTCCAGGCGATACTCTCAATTGACACTCCCTTCAGCCGCGACAGTGGCTTGGGTTGCCTCGACTGGGTATGGAGATAGTAGTTCTCGCCAAGGGTGGTGGTAATTATTAAGTGGGATGCGGAAGGGTCCAGGAACATGCGACGAATAACTCCTATTTCCGAGGATTTCTTTGGAAGGTCGATATCTAGAACAGCCGAATTAACATCGCAACGAGGGGAACTTGGAGATTCGGCGAGTCACAGGGCACGACCTACCGTCTATATCTTCGGGGGCTTCCAAGTCAATTCTAAGAATACGATTGGTTGCGAGAGCCAGAATGAGTACATTGTTCGCAACTTGCGCAGCGACGAAATCCGCAGCGAGCGGGAACTGAAGCTGGACACGTCGGACATCGAAGAGTGCGGAGTCGGGGGTTTCAGTTAAGTTGCTAGGAGCAACATAACCGTTTGATGCATCCAGCGCCATGATGCGCTAATAGTGACAAAAAGTGCTATATCATAGCGGGTTCCCCGAGAAAGAGGGTCGAACAGTTGCTAAACGAGCTTGTGTCAAGCTGTTGACTGGGCGATTGATACCGATAGGGCGGGATGGGGAAGCTAAGACAGCTGTTGATGCCTTGGCATGACTCTTCTTGCCTGAGGCACACACTGGTCTTGTTCTATCAGGAAGCATTTCTTATAGCACAACCAGTTACCTACTGTGGACCGGTCTACCACCGTACAACATCCAGGCTCCTTGTTATACAGAATCCCGCCCCTAAAATCTATTTCTAATGCATTCGCTCATAGTCTATACACAGTAACACCATCCGAATTTGCGTGCCTGAGATAAATAACAAGTGGCTGGGTATCAAGCACCTCTCTCTAGAAGTGTGGAATCATGAAAAGCATCAATCATGGAACTGTCAAAGATGCATCGTTCACATTACAGAGCACTCCCGCTCCAGCTTTCGCCCAATCTTCTCCCTGGACTTCTCCTTAGACTTCCCTTTGTTCTTGGTGCTTTCCTTTCCGCGTGTAGGACTTTTCTCATTGCTTTCACTGCTTGTTGACATAGCCCCCTCGCCTGGTGGCATGTTCTCAACAGCAAACTCATCGTCCTCAGTCGAGAAGCCATCGCCGTTGACTTTATCCCTGCTGCGTCGACCGGTGAAACGTGAGAATGTAGCACTAATTCTGCTTTCGCTAGTTTGGCTCCCCGCACGGCTGCCAGGTGCGCTTCTCCGGTTCCTCGAGGTATGCCGAGAAAATGAGAAGGAGTTCCTCCCTCTATCATCGTCTCTTGGGCCAAGTCTCGGTGACGTCGATGGCACCGCTCGTACCTGAAGTCCTCCAGAGGCATTCGACTCAACTGCGTCGGAGAAGGCCACACTATGTTTTCTGTCATTTTGCTCCAGAGGCAGGATTTCTGCATTATCCGGGGCGGTGATTTCAAAGCTCGGTCTGTTCGAGCGGAGTCCCTCCGTACGCCAACTTTCAGGAAGATCACCCCCCGAGGTGCTTAATTTCTGGGATATTGCCGAGGTGTCTATTTCCTGAACATCATCTGACATTTCAGAAGAAGGCGCCGTGTCTGGGAGATTGACCGCCGCAGCATCTTCATTGACCGGCAGAATTTGGTAAAATAGAAGATACGGCGACTCGTGCTTCAGGGCTCGTTCAATATCAACTAAAGTCACACGCTCCGCGGCCAAGTCATCAAATCGCATCCAATATTTGGTGGTATCCGAAAAGGCTGTCTCCGAACTATGAGAGCTAGTTGGGGGAGCACCAGCACTAGTGCCCCTAACAATAGCAATGTAATGCCCTGAGTCAACCGAGTTGCCTCTATGACAAATCATTGCCTGCAAGGACAGCTTAAAATTCCCGTATATCGGACCCTCTTCGTCCAAGTTATCATCTTGGATGAAATGGGGTAATCCAATCTCTGTTGGTATATCAATGAAGGTATTAAGTCGGACGGCTTTACCGTTTGGTAACATAGAATAACGCTTTAGGCACAATCCCAGTATTGGTCGTTTTGACGAAAAATGTGCTGCAACCTGTGCATCATTGGTCGGTGTATTATCCGTATACCAAGCTATATCGATGTTATCACCCGCGAGTATAAGGAACGTAACAGTAGGTCTTACGTATCAAACTAAAGAACTGCCATGCAGGCATCATGACCTCTTTCCGATATGAGCCTCTTCGTTGTGATGTCATGTTTCCATCGCCTTCTGAGTCAGGAATAAAACGTTCTTGGACGATGCTGCTTCGCCTGGGCTTAGGTGTGTTTGAGCCACTTGTTTCCGTCACCGACGAGATTGGGGTCACTTCATCAAGTCGAGGAGGTGATAGGGTTGTCGGGGATGTCGAAGGGGATGGACTAATTTCCACTGTCTCGACGTGCGTCGTGAAACCCTTCGATAATGAGTCTACCGATTTAGTAGATCCCACAGTGTTACGCCGTTCAAGGTGTCGTTTCACTTCTATCCGATTGTTGAAGTATGATTCCAAACAATCCTCGAGTGTGACAGTGTTTCCATCATGAGGCTCCGGTATCGCAACCTCTAGTAACCTTTCATTAACAAACTTGTGGTCATCGCTCGCATCTTCCTTCCCCGTATGATAGATGTCCATTTTTAAAGTAAGGAGCGGCAACTCCAGCTTTCCTGTAATAAATGTGAACGCTTCCGATGTATCTTGCTGACGTAGCTTAGCAGCATCTTCCCAGCCACATTCAGCTAGTGCGTCCTGCAGGTGTTTGGTCTTCAGGCATCCCGTCAGTGTCTCTTCTCGTTGCAGCGTAAGCAGAAATAGCACACGTACAAGGTCCGTTGTTATAAGTTTTCCTGACCGCAGCATGTTGACCCAGAGCCTTAACAGTATGACAAGTTTTCGACGAGGCTCGTCATTGAAGGATTTGTATAGGATAGCCTCAAAGCAATCTAGACGAGCAAACATCGCAAAAAGAAGTGCGTCTAAATAGCAGGTAACTCCTTGACGATTCTCTGCTCCCAGAAGCTTCGTACTTGGCGTATATCCCCTTATGATCCCTTCTATAGAGTCCTCGAGAAGTAGCAGCAAGTCAAACGCTTTGTCTACATCTCCCTGGGCATGCGATGATTGTAGGGCATAGCCAAAGTGCTCCTCTTTAAGATTGGTGATACCGAGCTGCGCGATGCGACGCTCAAGGAGCTTGACCTGCTTTCATAAGCTCCACTGCATAGGTCATGCACCTAGAGGCTACCTTTCTCACCTTCTTCTGCTGTTCCTCGTCTGTATCTATTGGTGCTTGGGTCGACGAAAAGAAGCCACGGAAAAGGGGACGGGAAAGAATATTCGAAGACTGAGAGAAAGCAATATTAGCGAAACTAAGCTTATAGACGACTTCTTTTAAGCGATCGTACCTCGTCTTTCTTTCCATATCTGCTATTTCGCTCGCGCCTAGTGAGAAACCTGTGAATGCCGCTCATTTTGTACGCTGTAATGTGGCTTTTGCTGATTAGGGTTCAGAGTAGGAGACAGGTGTGGCGGAATGAGGGTTAGATATATGTCGACATGAGGAAAGTATTAATTCAGGCTCCAATATTTCCATGAAGCGTGTGAGAGCAATTCTTAGTACGGTTACTAGACATATCATGTGTCTAGTTCTTCTGATAGCTGAGATCTAATGTGAGTCGAGGAAATTGCGTATACTAGGCTTCAGCTGAAATCGTCCAGTGACATCACATGTGTGACACGAGAGCGATTTGAGTAGAGCGCCAGATCCAGCGGGCGACAGTTGTCAGTCTAGGGAAGCAAAAGTGCTGCGAAGCCCTAAAGTCAATAACTCATGACTTTGGCACCGGATCGGCAGCGATCTAAAGTTATGGATGCCTAGCTTGCTGGATTTGGCGCGGGGATGATTGATTGAAGCTGATCACATGTGGATCCTCCCGCCTTTTTGTCTGCGGAGCTTTTGTTCGTTGCCTGACATTGCCGCCAGGCCCTTCAGGCAGCCTTATCGTGTTCACGTGATCATGTCCCGAAGTCGATGTGTCTCCGATCCGGAAAACAATTTTTGGGATGCCCGGCCTTGAACTCGTCTACAGCGACAACGTCCCGTGTAGACCACAATGGCTGCTAGTGAGCCTTCAAGATACCTGGCAAGGTCATTGCCACGGGCATTTGTCCCCACCGCTCGCCCACAGGGCTTCTGCTTGCGGCGCAATGTCTCCGACCAAGCCTCGTCGAAGGCCGCGCCGGCCGACCTCAATGAACTTGAATCGGCGACTTCTCTGACTTCGACAACGCTTTCTGAGGCTACTGTGAAGTCATTCGATCCAATTGCAAGGACCAAGGCACGGAAGAAGCAACTGCCACGCAGTCGGTGAGTTTCTCTCGAGCATCTTGCGATCCGGATCAAAAACCCCCGGTCAACACTCGTCTCTAACCATTAACTTCCAGTTATCAATTTCGTTCTCCCAAATATGATCGTGGCCCTCTACACCCTCACCAGCCCCCTCCGCCATCCGATCCCTCTTCCCGACTCTACGTTCCGGGCCCCTTCTCTCTTCCCCGAGTAGAGCAAACATACCAGTCCACCGTCGCGTCCGACATCCTCACCCTCTGCTATGTTCACAACCCCCCGGGTTTCAAACCACCACAAAAGGCCCCCCGTCTTCGCTCATGGGATGACAGTTCTCCATACCACAAGAATAGGCCGCTCCGTGGACCCCGAGGAGGTGATGTCCTCCGTCTTCTCCGGAAGCCGATCAATTTCAACAATATCCCCCAGCTAGAACGCATCACCATTCACAGCTACGTCAAGCAAGCAGCCCAGGAGAATTCGTCATGGTTGCATGTTGCAGGAATGGCTGTTCAGGCTATCTCCAACGCTAGAGTGGAAACCTTCAAATCGAAGACCAGCGTGGCCACCTGGAGTATTGCACCAGGCAGAGATACCGTTGCCGTCAAGGCGGAGCTTCGTGGTGAAGATATGTTGCACTTCTTTGGGAAGTTGGTTGATGTTGTTATGCCCAGGATCAAGGACTGGGAGGGTGTCAAGGGTAGCAGTGGTGACAGCAGTGGAAACATCACCTTTGGTCTTGAGCCTGAGAACGTGGCTCTGTTCCCTGAGATCGAGGTGAACTATGATATGTGAGTCTTACAACCACTCTAGTACCGGAAAGAGACCGCGTATGACATTTGGCTAACGTACGTTCGATCTTTAGGTATCCTCCGAAGATGATTCCCGGTGCCCATATTACCATCCACACCTCAGCCAAGACGGACAAGGATGCCCGGCTTCTCCTCAGTGCCATGGGTATCCCTTTCTACGGAAAGATGGTTGACTAAAGGAGCCGCAACGATACCATTTATTGGGGAAATCTGCAAGATTTAATCAAGGAACGCTTGACAAAGGCCAGTCATGTACACCCGAGCGAATATTTGTACTCTCATCTTCGTTTTCTTGGCATTGAATATGTAACATGAAAGTTTTGTTGACTCGTTAAATTCATGTAAAATATGCTCTATATTATTAGAACCTTTATTGCACATTATCCCATCCGCTCTGGTTGGTCGTTGACCATTCAAATATAGTATTAGACATCTACCCCCTCACTTGTGGACTGGATCGAACGTCGTTGATATCTCTAAAAACAAGGAACATATATAGGTATATCATTAAGATCCCTCATATATGCCAGGACAGAACCCCGCTTATTAAAACACAAGAATAGAATAGTTGAAGTTCGTGAATCGAGATCACTTTATGTTCAGTTCTATACAACATTATTTCATCATGCCGACAATGAAATTATAACTGGGCTGGTTGGGGTAACCCAGAGAATTGAATGTCCAGAAAGTCTGCGATACTGGGGAATGGTGGAGTAACCAAAGAATGATAATAAAGCACAAGCATTCAAAAATTCATAGATCTTAAAATCTCAAAGTGCTTAGCGGCATATAAGCCTGGGGTATTCCTCAATCTCAATCAGACACTGTAAAACAAAATTTTTTCTTTCTTTCTTTCTTTTTTTACTTTCCACATCCAGACGGACTGGTTTCACGCAATTGGCGTGGCGAGGAACTGACACTTCAAAAGCTCGTCAGCGCTCGGCCGTTGCTCATAGTCAACCTGGAATGTCATGTCTAGGAATGCAACAGCATCCTTGCTTGCATGCTCTGGCGCAGGTGGTCTGGCTTTGTTGCTACCAATAGCGAAAATGGCCTGCAGTTGACTGCAGTCAGGGAAAGGGTGAGCGCCTATAAACATCTCCACAACCAGGCATCCTAAGCTCCAAATGTCTGCTTTCTTGGTGTGGGCGGTCTGTCGAACAACTTCTGGTGCCATCCAATATACGCTACCCTGCAGCGACGGTCGGTGTAGATGACCACCCCCTGTGCCGCTGGCCCGAGAGCCAAGGACTGTAGAAGCTTCCACCCGTTTGGAGATACCGAAATCCGAGATCTTGATACCACCTTTGTTGTCCACAAGAATGTTTGCACCCTTGATGTCACGATGTATAATATCACGGCTGTGCAGGTACGAGAGACCTGCAAGTATCTGTCGTACAAAATTCTTGATTAGAGGTTCTTGGAAAGTGTTGTATTGCTTGAGCATTGTAGCAATAGATCCACCGGGAACGTATTCCAGGAAAATATTCAAATACTGGTCATCAGCAGCGGTACCGAGATACTGGACAATATTTGGGTGGTGAAGCCCTTGCAGGAGTTCAATTTCATGTTTAAGTGCGGTAACCATGCTGTTCTTCCGTTTGTCGAACTCTGTGCCTTTGGTTGCCGATGGTATCTCAACTTGTTTGACCGCCATAAGTTCTCCAGTGATCGCATGCAAGGCCAAAAACACACTTCCAAAAGATCCTTCACCAATCAAAGAGCCTTTCATCCAATTCTTAGGTGCGAAGTTGTTTCCAGCGAGGAAGTCATTAAGACCATCATCTTCCTCTTCGCCATCTTCGGCAACTAGAACGCTCAGTCGTTCATTGAGTGAGCCTCCGTCAGTTGCAGCAACACTTGCATTCTCATCCACGAGGCTCTGACGAGATGTACTGGGATCGTCAGAACCACTATCGAAAGAAACGTATGATTTGCGATTTGGCTCAATGGGAGACTCTTCCTGAAGCGGTTGAAGGGAGCTTGACGCGATAGAATCTCTATACGTGGCTTGAGGCAGGCTGAACTTGGAAACTGAAAGAGGCCTCGAAGCGCGAGTGGGTTGAGCACCAGTATTAAGCCAAGTATCTGCAATACTGGGGATAGGAGGTGCATCTCGTAAGCTGGATGCGTAACTTGTATTGCTAACGACACTCAATCGACTTGCTGCGCGGCTCAGGCGCTGCGACCTCCGAATTGACATGCGCATGGTCTTCTCAATATCTTCCCGGTGGTGACTAGGGAAGTAAGATGTGATCTCGTGGATAATCATCTCGCTAGGTGGTCGAGCACCAAAGAACGATCGTAATTTGGATACGGCGTGTCGCTCCGTATTCAGAACTTGCAAATCATGCTCACTCGAATTCTGATGCCGTGCAGACATGGGTGAAATCGGTTGTTTTATATTATGCCATGGCTCACCCGTGAGTTGTTGGATCTTGAACTGTGTGCGTGGGTTTGAGCTATTCAGGGCGTTGATATGTGTCGCTTGGCTTTCATCAATGGCGAGTTGAGAGGCACGTCGAAGCTCGTCCGTGTCTGGCTCTCCAGCATGAATCTTCCGGAGTATTAGGCGGCCACGCTCAGATTTCTGGTTGCTTTCGCAAATTTCCATAAGCTCATGATCCGCCAGCCTCCTGCAGTTTGACGGGTTTGGCTCCAGGCCATCCAGCACATAGAAGCAGTAGTTCCGATATTGATGCTCAGGAAGCTGCAGCTTCTTGAGCACGCACAGTATGATTTCATCAGCCGTGTTGCAATGTTTGATGTTCAATACTTTGGTCTGTCCGCCAGTATAGATTATTCTTATAACAGGCGAGTTTGGGGGAAGAGACCCCATTGTCAGGCCATCAATGCTAGGGTTTTGTCTCAAATGACTCCTCTGCGCCTCGTTAGGAGTCGGTGGGTTTCGGCTGGCACCGGAACTACCAGAGTTTTGACCGAAGTAGCCTTGCCCTTGTTCCTTACGAGCGCTCTCCATCGGGCTAGCGACATAACGTTGGGCCCGCAAGGGCGATCCTGGCCGCGACGATGGTTTGTATCCATGGGCATTATCAGCGGTATGAGAGAAACGACGATTATTCAAAGTCGGTTGGCGGCCAATTGAGGGACGACTGGATTGGGATGAGGCGGGTGTATATACTGACTCGAGCGCGGCCAATTGATCCTACATCGGGTCAGCAAAAAGCACCTAACACGCAATATAGTAACCTACAATATTCCTTTGTTTTCGGTTGGCAACCGATTTGTTCCTGAGCTGCTTGATAGCGACGAAGATGCGTACCCGATCACCGACTTTTTTAATACCCATCTCTTGCAGAATCTTCTGGTCACACTCGATAAGATTGTTGCCATTGAAGTTGTTCGCTATATGCTGTCAGCGTCTGTTTATCGCGCACGACTGTAACATAAGTGGGATTCAGGAGCTACCTTTGAACAAGGATTCATATTGCCCACACTTGATGCTATGTAGCCACGTTATGACCTGCTTCTCGTCCCAAGACCTATCGCGGTGTCAGCTTCCTACAATATTCTTCTCTCAACAGTACATGAACAACGTACCTGACTGCCTCAAGTCCATCCTGTGCTTCCGAGAACTCCGACTCCGTGGGGCTCGTGAATGACATTCCATCTTGATGCGTTGTAAAGATTGCTTTCTGGGATGGTCCAGAGTGATAAGATGTTGTTGGTGTCTGGGATGTGGACATCCCCAGCGGAGAAGAGTACGTAGTCTTTGCGAGCATGGTTGAAGGGGGGGAAGCAACCGTAGAGCGTCGTCCCAATCGTCCGGCGATACCTATAGATCCCGTCTGCAAGTAAATGTCACCCCTTATGCTTTGCCCCTGTGTAACTGGCGAGGAATTGGCTCGTGCGGCGTTGTGGAAACGTCAAGTCCCAGCAGACGTCCAGGATAGTCTAATGCATGATTCAGGGCAGCCTGCAAGGTTCCAGGCACAAATTAGCTCCATCAATTTCCTAAAAGGGGGATGACAGACGAAGATAAGGATCAAGCGAGTATAGATTTCCAAATATAGAAGAAAACGAGATGAGGGTCCAAACACGGAAAATGGGTTCGTACCAAGGTCAACACAACAGCAACTGTACCGTGAACGTGAACCGCAACCAACCCCACAGGATCAACCCTCTCGTCCGTGCCTAGGTTGGAGTGCACTCTGTGGAAGGTTCACGATCGGAGGTTATCAGCGATAACGCTCCCACTAGCGGAGGGATGATAAGAGGGGAAGAAAAGGTGAGATGAGGTGGGATAGCGCTCGAGGGTCGGAGAAGGGCGATGGACAGTAACCGGTGATCCCTTTGGGAACCAAATGGCGAAGGGAACGTGGCGGAGAGGGAGGAAAGCAACAACTGTTGCCGTGCTCTTTCACCTTAAGGTTTTTGCTGGTATCTAAAACCGTCTAGTCTCGTTACAGAGTTGGTATCTGTCTGGGCCCGATCGGAGGGGGGGCGAACGATGGGCTCCTCCGACATGTGCACTGTGTGGGATCTCCTCAAACACGCCGCGCCGGATGATAGGCTGTCAAGGGGCCCGATCTGAAACAACGGGCCATCAGCTGCTCTCTTTCCGAGCCTTAGGCTTCTTGCCCTTTCCCAATTTCGTGGCGGCATCCAACTTTTTTGCTCTATTCTTAGGTGGTTGACGCCGCCGCTTCTACTCTGGTTCCATGGTTTTGGTCACCCTCAAATCGGTGAATAGCCGAGCAATTGCTTAATTATTTTTCCATCATTATATATTTTTTTTCCAGGTGGCATTGAATGTGTTACAAGTTTGGCTGCTTCTTCCAATATTCTTCAAGTAACTGAATAGGCAGGTAAGGTATTAATAAATTACTAGTACAACAATACTAACAACATTTCATCCCTCAATAGGTCAGAACCTGGGGTTCATTGGTAGGTTTGATCATCAACTGCTCCGCGCACGCACACACCAGTATCTAATTATGTTTATCCACAATTTCGGGCTACTCCTGATTTGTAAAAGCGGCACTACAACTTAGATTGAAAGAAGCACAATAGAAACAGTACTAGGTATCTATTAACCCATTTATCCACAGAGAACAATGCGATTGCTCATTCCTGCAGGTCAGCTCTAGTCATCTTAGGTATATGTTCAAATTCAATGGGACTTGCTCGAAGTGATTGATATAAAAGTAAGCAGTGCGAAAGCAGCTGACGACTGCTGGTTCCATTATGAGGTGCGTCCTTTATAGCAATATTTAATATCGGTTGGATGTTAGAGAATGTACCTATTCTTGTCCTGGTGGGTGTGGTACAATTGGCCTGGTGTTGTTTTTGGTGGGGTTCTGTAACAAGCCAACAGTAGATGCGGAGAACTTCGCCATTTATTCCATACAACGCGGATAGGCATCTCAGTTCTAATCTCTGGCTCCGAATTAAGCGATCTATTGCAGATGGTGTAATCACCCGAGAACAGTTAACGTCAATTTCAAAGGGCCTTCATGTCGTAGTAATAATCATCTAGATTTACCTTATCATCTGATTAAATAGCTTACCTACTGTATGTGTGTCAGGGAGACAGTATTATATACAAAGAAGTACAGTAATAGCATCAGATACTCGCTGCTTTCGAGTAAGCCAGCATATACTCCGGAGCAGGACACCGCAATGAGATAAACTCCAAGAGGTTCAAGCCGAACCAGTCCTAGAGTTGTATGAGGTTAGAACGTGTGGACGTTCCCTGCTGATTCCCTTGTTAGGAAACAATAATAGTGTGTCAGGTGTCCGTGCAAACGCATTCAAACCACTGGAAAATATGGCAACGGGCCGCATTTTCCGTCAAGCTATTGCTCTGGTTCTTGTTACTCATTGGTATCCAGCCCTTCTGTCAAAAGGCTCGTCACGGGCCCAATAAATGCCGACCCTGTCATAACCGCCCATAGAACACTGTGAATAAACGTTCCCAGGTACAAACCAATGCTGTGTACTGCTTGAAATTGACGGGTCGAAGAATCGATTTCGGCGGTATTTTAGCCTCGTAGAGTCCCACTCTGCCTAGCGCCAGAGGTACAACAGCTTACCAAGAGGATCATGGGAATGTCACGTTCCCTCAAAAATGACCAACAGAAATTTCGTACTGGAAGCAGTCGGAAGAAGGATGCCAAACTAATCAAATTGAAGAATTCTTGAGAAAATATATCCAGGCATATTCCTCGGGTTTAAGAATGTGAACTGTAAGCAATCCAATGCAGCGGGTAAGAAGATTGATATAGAGAATCTAAGTCCAGGAAGCAGCCTCCACAAAATCACCATCTATTACTGGATCGGTAACTGATCCAGTAGTCCATACGGCGCTTTGAAAACCAAACGATGTCCCTCGCTCGTGTAAAGGTACGAGATCGGCAATGATGTTCTTGGCTAAGCTGATGATACCTCCACCAGCAGAGCCCTGAACACTTCGTCCTACATATACTGTAGCAAAAGTTCTTCGATACAACAGCGACAGTTGATCCAACAGTAAAGAGGACAGGCGAAAGTATGGCAAGATGCTTGCGACCAAAAGTTTCCGATAAAGACCAAAATGTATGCTGGGATGCCGTTTTGTTGAGCAGGAAGGAGGTACCAGTCCAGAAAGCTTCAATGGCTGAACCTCTAAGATCTTGAGGCATAATCAACAAGTCTAAATACTATTAGAAGCAGACCATTTGCAGGGAGTCAGGCGTATAGGCAGGGCAATGAACAATGAGGTTCATTTAAGGCAGCGGCAAGAATCGCAATGCAAATGCCGTTGAAAGCAGTGTACAATAGAAAGCCAGCAGGAAGCCATTGCTATTATTCTTGACATGTTTTAATGCTAACGGTGGACATGGCCAGTTTCTTTGCTCGTCCCGAGTGGCTTATGAAAAAGGTGACGAGCAATAAAGTGACACTAAGAAATTAGGCAGGATCTAGTGTTCAGGTTGAGGAGGTATTTAACCAAAAAAGAAAAAGAAATAAAAAAAAAAAAAAAAAAAACGGCTTGACGAACTTATGCACGCCAACAGATAGTTTTAGTGGTTTGATAAGAAAATGAATACCTAGTATGGATCAATCATCCATGATCCGTCTTCTAATGTACAGAGTAGTCCAACATTCATTCCACTTCCGAAGCATGCGAATTTTCTATTCTAATTTCTTTTACTGGAAACCTCTTTTTACTTCTTTTTATTACTTCCCCATTTTTTGTTCTTTAACACTACTGTTGTAGTTTCTATATCGGACTGAGCACACCGTACATTTACTTTAGATAGGGTTCTTCCCCTCCCGTTGCTTTATTATAACTATGAACAAAATCTAACCATTGTTGGATAGCATGGTGTTATACTATTTCAATTTGCCAACATGTATGTATATGTCGAACAAGTTCCGGTGACTAAATCCAGTAAATCCCCTCTTTCCTTTAAATAGGTTAGGAGTAAGTGTAAGTAACTCTGGTCACTGGTGAGGAGACGTAAGTGTATGATGCTAAGGTTGTATCAAAAGCAAATATCTCCGCACCAGTGGGGAGGGCGGAGTGTATCTGCGTCCATTAGTATTCCGATCCTTACCCAAGAGACCTACCGACAACCACGACTGTTTTATTCCTCTCTCCTCAATCAGACCTCGAAATAGTTCAGAGGCTTCATTCTTCCGTAATCCACCACACGGAATCTATAGCTCAATTTGGTGATGTATCCCAGCCTCCACGGGAAACTTCACTGACTCGTGACCGAGTTACTATCCAGACAACTTAAAAAGGTAATGGTGACTTTAGGGCTTTGATGATCAGACAACAAGAGTCCAACGTCCGCGGCAGCCACGTGACCCCCCTCGCAAAACCCCCTCATGACAACCCCACAGTTTTTCTTCCCCGCTCGCAGGTTATCCATCAAAGGACAAATGCTCCAATTCCAAGGCAATTCGCTATGGAGGACGAGAGAACTTCCCCTGGGAAAGTGAGAAAGAAGTCTACTCCCGCCAACCGGAAGTCCCTGTCTTGCGAATATTGCAGCAGGTCTTTTGCGCGTCTGGAGCATCTCCAACGCCATCTCCGCACACGTTGAGTAACCCTGAAGACGTCCCAAATTGGCATCTGCCTCTGTGATGTGCACTGTGTTAATCGTTTACCTACAGATACGAAAGAAAAGCCCTTTTCATGTGACATATGCTCCAAATCTTTTGCAAGAAGGTGAACACACTTCGCGCCTCGAACACGGCTAATCCACGCTAATCCCGAGCTTTACCTGTCTGTAGCGATCTGCTCGTACGACATGAGCGACTAGTTCATCCAGCGGAAGCAGCAGCCAATCGCGAACATCGAAACAATAGTCATCATGATGTCCCTCAGACCCCGTCATCCATAATACAACCGACCCACCAAGAGTCGCGCATGCTAGAGCTTGCAGATGCCGTTCCAGTGCAAACACAACCAGTTCCGCAGCCCCCACCAGAGGTGCAGGTCCAACCTCCTCCAATAGTCGAAACAACTCATTTCAACCCATCCTGGGGGTACGATCTAAATCTGCTCTCTCATGCTGCTAGCCATGTGGCTCTTGAGGGCCAGCAAGAAAGCCTCGAGTCGATGCGTAAGCCCTCACAGAGCGTAGGCCCTCCCCAGCCGTTGTCTCAAATCCCGGAGAGAGCAATCACAGACAATTATGGTGTTGAGCCTTCTTTCCTGGATCTCACAGACCTAGGCGACCCCGTCCAAGACTTTACCGTCTTCTTGGAAAGCGTTGGCCTCTCATCTGACTGGGACTCTGGCGTATTCTCGTCGGTGGAAGAGCCTATGCTGACGGCAAATATACCAATTGACTCGAAGCCACCTATTCGTGAAAGTGCGAGGCTTGGTGCAGATATGATGGGCGATCCGCGTGGCCCAGCCGACGAGCCACCGTCCTTTTCTAATTTTGGATCTCGGCTACCGTCTCTACAGCCAGAGCCGCAAGACGTTGATGATCGTCTTGTATTTGGTGATGAAGGTCCGCGTCCAGCTTGGGATATTTCGAATACAGATCGTCAAGTCTTTCTTTCAAAACTTGAGGAATTTGCCTATATTCTCCCCAAGGGCTTCATCCCACCATCGAGACATGCTCTGTCACGCTTTTTCGCTGGCTACATAAACGGGCTAAATGAACACCTTCCATTTCTCCATGTGCCGACACTGTCGGTTGCAAAATGCTCCCCTGAGCTCACTCTCGCATTAGCAGCCGCAGGATCTCATTACCGATTTGAAAACAATCGAGGAATCGAGCTTTTCCATGCCTCGAAAGCCATTCTTCTGCAGCGCCTCCAGAGAAGAGACAGCAAGCAAGTACAGTGCCCTTCGTGGAATTTTGTCTCTCCATCATCCGGTTTTCATGACTCGAGGGGCTCCTCTACCCCTTCAAATAATGCCAATAGCCCGTTTCAGCAACATCACATCCCGCATCCGATCGACTCGCCCTCGGGCTACGCACCCCAAGATTCGGACGCTCACATGGAAGTAATCAGAACATTCTTGCTGCTCACAGTGTTTGCTTCATGGGAAAGACATCCTGAGCTATTGCGGGAGATTCTTTCCCTTCAGAGCACACTGGCTCGACTTGTCAGAGAGCATGGACTTATTGAGCCACCTCCTAGTGCTGATCCCAACAACTGGGAAGACTGGGTACGAAGAGAAGGTAACAGGCGCACAAAGTTCATCGTATACTGCTTCTTTAATTTACACTCTATCATGTACAACATTCCCCCGTTGATCCTGAACGCAGAGTTGAAACTAAACATGCCATGCTCACACGACGTTTGGAAAGCCAACAACGCCAGCCAGTGGCGGCGGGTCATGCGTTCGCGACATGGGCCGGAAGTTTCATTCCAAGAAGCTTTCGCTAAGCTATTCGTCAAGTCCAATTTATCAAATTCATCGACACCCATATCACCGCTTGGGAATTATATTCTCATACATGCCCTTATCCAACAAATTTTCTTTGCCCGCCAGCTTTGTCTATCTGCACCGATGATGCAAGGCACTAGCCTGAGGCATGAAGATCTGTCCACCTTGGACAATTCTTTAAGTGCTTGGAAAGCATTGTGGAAGCGCACTCCAGAATCGAGCATTGACCCTCAAAACCCGGCAGGCCCAATAGCATTCACGTCGACTGCCCTTCTTGGGCTTGCCTATATCAGGTTGCATGTTGATTTAGGTCCTTGCCGCCGCCTCATTACCCAAGACCCGATTCAGATCGCCAGGGCTCTAGGTGAATCTCCGCCTGTAGCACGGAGCCCGCGCCTCATCATGGCTTTACTGCATTCTGCGCACGCACTTTCCATCCCGGTTCGTCTCGGGATAGACTTCGTAGCGCGGACCCATTCATTTTTCTGGAGTATTCAGCACTCCCTTTGTAGCCTGGAATGTGCATTTCTTCTAAGTCGTTGGTTACTTTCCATACCGGTGACGCAGGCTGAACAAAGACTGTCGGAGCATGAGCGAAAGTTGCTCTTGTGGATTAAGAGTATGATGGATGAGACTGACATGGCCGTTGATCCTCCAGGCGCACCTGATGTGGAATTTCTGGCTAATCCCTACAAGGCAAAGCAACTCAGCATTGCCATTGTACGAGTATGGGCGAGGACCTTCAAAGGGAATACAAGCTGGGCGATAGTGGACCTGGTCGGGTCGAGCTTGGAAGCTTATGCAGATCTTCTGGAAACGCAGCTCTGATGATCTATCTGGCTTGGTACACGCGCTAGCCGTTCGGGGAGTTTGCGTTGGAATAAAGCGTTTAGCAGGGCTGGTAGCTAATCCGCGATAGCACCCGTCATGCCCTGTTAGCTACAAAACGCATGTCTCCCTGCTCTATTTGCCCATTGGCCGGTAATGTCTCTAGATGAACACCAGCCAGCACAAGGCATCCGGTCTCCGCCAGTTATACCTTCTCCTGTTGCTAACCTGGTCATCAATAAAGGAGTTGGTGCTGCCCGAATCAGTAGTGGGATATGGCAGCTTGACTCTTGTGTTACTCTGGATGATATGTGATGTTATTATATACCCCCCATCACTTATTCTCTTCACCTCTTAATCATGTATATAATTGTAAGCTCTCGTTAAGGAGGCTGAAAATGTTGCGATATGATTATCACGCTTTGACACCAATGATTTGTTTCCTTTCACTCCCCTTTCTCCTACATTTGCTCTCAGTCGCCCTTGAGAAAGTGATGATTGCACGCTTTATGTTCTCCCCTGTTTATTTTTGCCTGCCCTTAGAGGCTTGTCTCTATCAATAATGGTGTAACGCCTACGGAAGGTCTTTCAATTTGAATTAAATAGGCTTGTTCTATATACTCACTAGTCTCGGCACGTATGTTTTAGCCATCCGTATTCGTTGCTTCGTTATATGATTCCCTCTCATCAGTTGGATCGTCTACCATGGCCTTTTGCAACGCTCGTTGGGACAAATCGCAAAGCAGACATTGACCTCTCAAGCTGAGCTATTTCCGATTCACCCGGTTGTGGCTGAGGGACTATGTCCTGTCCAGGAACTGGTTTAGAATAAGATAGAGAGCTTTGTCGGTGTCTAAGCCGACCTTCCTGTGGGGAAGTTGGAGTTGCCGAAATTCGACGTCTATGCGAGTTCACAGGTCGCAGCATAGAGGTCTGCTTGTCTATACCATCGTTCACTATGTAAAAATTGTAGGTCTGTGGTTCAGCTATGTCAGACACTGTGCACCAACTTAGTTCCCACCGAGCAAATTACCTTGGGAAACATATGTTTATCTATCAAGTGCATCCTGCGTTTCTGCGGCGTCGAGCATTTCCGCTCGCAATCTTCAATAAAACACCCGTACTATATCCGACCGAGCATTGTGAGCCAGAGCTTTGGGCTGTAAAACAAATTGCTTAACATCATAGAAACATACAGTCTTTTCTCCCCGGTCTTTTTTCGCGGCAATCAAAGGATCATGGTTCTCCTCAATATGTAGATTCAAGAAACGGTCAGTGGGAAAGTTCTTCCCACACGCTGTGCATCTGTTAACATGCGTTTGTTTGTAATGAACTTCGTAGTCATCATATGAGGGGAACGAGAGTGTCTCCCGATGCGGCGGCAGTGAGCAATGCATTACTTCTATCCCAGAATTGGCGGTGTCGGATAGATGTTTTCTGGGTCGTTCAACAGAAGTGATGGAAGATGCTGGCGACGAGGACCTTGAACCGGTCTCTGGAAGCTGGCCAACAGAGGAGGATCTAGAGATGCTCCGGGAGCGCTTGGACATGCTGGCTGTCTATTGCTCTTATAGTTCACTCGTCTGGTTGGGTGGATGTTATGCAAGCGTCTCCTGCAAGGCTCATTGGGTACCTATGTATCAGGTGTTCTCGCCGACTCTGCCAAGTATGTCCGTCAAAATTCGTATTGGAATTATGATAAGTTTTATTCTGGTTTGTGTAAATCAAAGCTCGTGTGATTCCTGGAGTCACTATTCAAGAAGGAAGAGGATCTTGATATCATTGAAATCTCTCATCGAAACAGTGTCTGTAATGAATGAGCCATTACGTTCTGTCCTGTCCTATCCCGTATTGTACTGTAATCGGTTCCTGGACACGCACCAGCCACAGCCAAGCAAACCAATCACCGCTCCACGGAGCCACATCTCATCCGATTCAACGCCCGTCTTTTTCGGTCGCCGTCCAGAAGTTCCCGTGATATTGGGATTTTCTTTGCAACGAGCGGCTTGAACCCCTCGTTCTTCGTTCCTGCGCGTGGGAGACTATCTTCGTTCTATTCCCATTTGGCGCCCCCATCTCGGTGCAATCACTCTCGACCTTTGCTTCCGACCAGCGCCAACCCACCCGTTCTGTATATACTACTGATGGATCGTTCACTACTCTCGTCGCCCGCAGACTTCCAGCCAGCCATACCCATCTGACGGGCGAAGTCGACGGTGGAGTGACAACGGGCTTCGTTTCACTCTTCCTGAGCATGGCGTCCGCGTTTCAGAATACGTGGCAGTCAGTATTCTCATATATTCTTCAGAAAAGAAATGAACCCGACTTTCTGAACCGCAATGTACAGGATTGCGCTCGACATCGAAAGAGAGCTTCTGAAGAGCCTTGCCGAGAAAGAGCCTACATTTGCTGAAATCTCGCATTACCTCTCTGAGTCAGTTTATCCCCATCCAGTCACTAGATGATTCGTCTCTCATGCGCATTGTTCTGACAATCTCCATTTTCGCAGACTCCGCGCAGCTTGCCAGAATGCCATCCTCCAGGACTTCGATGCCGCTCGCTCCATCGACGTGGAAAGTCGCCTTTGGGATGCACATCTCAAAATTAACAATCGGTTTCGTAAATTACTCTCTCGCGTGAGTACTCGGGCTTTGGGAATCTCCCTCGATGAGACTCATCTAACCTACCACACACGCAACTTAGTTCCGCGAGCAAAACGGAAAGAAGAAGAAACCAGTAGAGCGACGAAAGCTTGAGAAACATTATCTCGAATTCATCAAAACAAGTCAGCGGTTCTATAGAGGATACATCCAGCAATTGTCGTCGCATTTCGGGGGAATTCCGGAGCTTGAAAACGTTGCGCGGAAATTCAATTTTGACAGTGAGCAATCCCGCCCTCTCCCTCGCAAACTCCCTTACTCAGTCAACCCTTTGTGTTAGATTTATCTGCGGAGGATTCCACGGTACAACCGGTTGGGGACCTTCGAAAACGTATTCTGCAGTCATGTCATGCGACCCTTATCCGTCTAGGCGATCTCTCACGCTACCGCGAAACCGAACTGGTCGGCAAGGACCGAAATTGGGGTCCGGCCATAGGTTATTATGATCTTGCCACAGTGATATATCCAGCCTCTGGCGCCTCGCACAATCAATTGGCTGTCATTGCCCTCGCCGATGGTAACCACTTGCGGGCCACTTATCACCTCTATAGGGCACTAGCCGCCCAGGAACCTCATCCATCTGCTAAGGGCAACCTAGAAATTGAGTTTAGGAAGGTTAGGAACCTGTGGGCTAAAAGAGAGCTGATTCGCCCCGAGGATGCTGGTATTCCTGGTAGAGCATTAGCTCCATGGTTTGTATATCTACATGCTCAGTGTTACAAAGGCACGGATTTTCCCGAGCATGAGGAGCTTGAAAATGAGGTATTGAATCAACTCGCTGTTGATTTGAAGGAGCGTTCCCTAGAGGGCACCTTACAGAAATTCTGTCTAGTCAATATCTCCGCAGAAGATTTTTCTAGGACACGCTCCAATGGTAAGTCTCCAAGTATGACGATTGCAAGAGCCGCTTTTAACCTATGCTTCAGAAGAGTCCGTGTCAAATGCACGCCTCTTTTTCCAGCGTATCAATTTGAAAACCTTCTTTACATTACTTCAGATCCTATTGGCTGAAGTGGAGCGGTTCGCGGTCGAAGAATCAAACTATAAAGATGGAAAGAATGGTCCTGACAAGATCACCGCTGTTGCACGACGTGTTTTGCCTGCTCTCCGAAACTACAGCTCTTGGCTACTTACAGTGAACTATCAGTTAGTGGCTCATAAAGAGGAGAAAGACACACCTCTTTCTGTCCAAATAACTGAGTTCTGGAAAATATACGCCAACACACTGACTCTTCTCGCATCCACGTTCGATGTAGTCCTCCTTCCGGAGATAGACTACCTTTTGGAAGAAGATGAGGAGACTCTGTGTTTTGTGCCACTAAACACAGAGGCTACATCACGTAGATATTTGGATACAAGTGGCCGCCAAAAGCCTCGGATGAATGATCTAGGAGTGGAAAGGAATCATCCAAACATGGAGATGCTTTATCGAATTCGAGAATTCGTAATCGATGGGTTAGATATGGTTGTGAGCAATGTATGCACCAATATTCTCCCTCTGTCTATTAGAATCGGCTGCTAATACGTTCTCTACCTTCAGAAAATCCCCATAGCTCTAGTCGACGATGGTGACAAAAAGACATTCATTTACAAGGAGGAAGGGCTTCCGTCTCAATTCTTTGCCAGCCCCTCAGGACATCACCATACGGTTTCCTCAGCGAGTATTGAACGGGAGGACATTCCACGAACAACACAAGACCCAACTTACGCTACCGATTCCAAAAGTGTTTTTGGGGGCTCTCAGTCAGCGTCGATGTCAGCCAGTATGCACCGCATTGTTGAGGGTGTGGAGCGTTTGGTTGAGTCGGACTGCTATGAAAATACCCCAGCGTTGCCGGAGCATCTCGTCTTTCCACAAAACAACGAGCAACCCAGCTCCAGCCATATCTTCAATCCTAGTACGGACTCAATATTCCGGGAAGAGAGCATTCCTGCTCGTCAGACCCCCATCGCTCCACCTGGGCTTGGCCACTCTATGGCAAATTCTGCTGCTCTAGCCAGGGTCCCATCATCACAGGCATACGCACCGCGACCCTCCCTCCCTGGTATCCCTAGTATATGGAACATGGGCCTCTCACCAGACGTTGGCGATGCATCTTCTCCCAGGACTCCACCAGGCCTTGGGCAACACCCAATTCAACATTCCGGTCATCTGATACCAGGAAGCATCGGTAGCCCAAGCCATCACCTATCCCAGGACTCAGCTATGAACGATCTCATACTTCGTCAGAGTCTAATGCACCAATCCCAGATGCAAAACCCTCTGAATGGATCCAGTTCCATATCCTCGTGGATACCCTCATCAAACCCCACCTCGCACCACCGTCTTTCTGGCTTGGGGTGGGACAACAGAGGGCTACTGGATGCTGCAAGCTCTCCGCCCCCCCTCGGTGCACCCAGCCAGCCCATTTCAAGTGGCTTGGCCAATGCCTCGTGGGCAAATGATGCGTTCCTCGCTAACACGCTCTCCTCAGGCGCGGGTTACCCCAGCTCTGGATTCGGCGGCAGTCGCAAATCTGCCACCCAGTACGGTGCTATTGGCCAAACACCTCCCTGTGGACATGGAGGGTGACACCGATCTCTTGATGGTATGAGCATGGGGAACAAGTCTCCGAGAGTCTTTTGAGATAAGAGGCATACACGCAGGAAACGCGGGTGCGAGCTTTGGTACCCTGGCTCCGATTTGTGAGCGTCGGAAGTGCAGTGGCGAGATTATGCAGCATCTCCCTTCGCTCCCATTGGTTAGTCCAGTTCATAGCATACCTATCAAATCCTGCTTTTCATCTGCAGGCTTGTGCACTGTCACATTTCCCGCGTGGGCTCATTGGCCATGCTGTCGTTAGACGCTGGTATTAAAGATACAGCCATGTTCACTAGAGAAATATCGGGGATAGGCTGTATTCAATAAGCGCTCTACAACTTATTCGTGAAGTCGGAAAGGAGACCATATATTGCAGATTCATGCGTTCGTGGTATCGCATTCTGGTCATATGGGCGAAGAGTCGGGATAAGGATTACGAGCCGAATTATCAGTTTCCCAGATTCATTTGGATTATCTCTTTCTTTTTAGCTGTCAGAGAGCTGTACCAATGAGACTATTCATTTAGAAACGATATCTCGAGACCTGGTGTCCAGTCTTGCGAGCTGAATTCAAGCATAGATCGTTGAAGATGGTAATAGATTTATTTATATATGTATACCGAACCAAATATGCGGATCATTAACTCGTTGTTGAGAACGTCATCTCTGCAACTCCAGTCTATCACGTAAAAATCATCAGGTAATGGGAGCGCAACTCTCAAGAAGATGTTGATGGAAAGAAGTCTAAGACGTTAAGTCAAAAGACAAGTGGGTATTAGAAGGTTGAATCCTAAAGAAAAAGAGAGTTCTTTGTCACTGCATGCTATCCTTGCAGCGCTGTTTAAGTGTTATGGATAGAAATGTGAATAATTTACGATCGGTTGGTGGGAGCGTAGGCCTTCTTGGGGAAGGGGAAACTAAATCATTTATGTCAGACAGTCATATTCTCAGAGAGGTGACGTGCAATCCGCCAAATGTACTAGCCAGCAAATGACGTCCGCTGGTGTTGGTGAAAAGCATTGGCTCGCAAAGGATGATCAGGGAATTACTTACGAAGGTCCCAACTCTTGGATGCTAAGGCTGGCGAGCCACTGGCCCATGTCCATGCTCTCTTCAAGAGACTTGCCTTGCACAACACCAGCACAGAAACCACCAGCGAAGGCGTCACTGTAAGTCACATCAGTCATGCTTATGTTTTCGATGGAAAAGGCCCACTTACCCGGCACCGTTGGTGTCGTTGATTTTGTCCTTAGCGATCTCAACCACGCTGAACTCCTTAACCTCAACTTCGCCGTTGGGCTTGACGGTAGCAGCTACGGTAGGGAGAGTACCCTGAGTCACAATGGCGACTCTGGGGCGGCTGGTGTTCTTCTTGGGCAGCTGAGCCAATTTCTTGGCGATCTCAACGACATCATCCGTACCCCATTGGTGGCTCTTAGAGTAAGCACGAGCCTCAGTCTCATTGCAGAAGGTGTAGTCAGTGTAGGGCAGTACACTGTCGAGCTGGTCCTTGAAGAACTCAGGGATGAAAGGGGCCGAAAGAGAGAGCATGAAGATCTAAGAGAGCGCACATTTAGTATTAATCCATTGAGAAGGAACATTTGCATAGGGTGAATTCCGTAAGTCGTCAGGAATGCATACCTTGTTCTTTGCAGCAGCCTCTTCGCCAAGAGCCTGGATAGCGGGCACACACACAGTAAGGTGATAGCCACCAACGTAGTACACCTGAGCCTTCTCAACAAGAGACCAAATTTGAGGCTGCTTAAGATGCTCAATCTTGTACTCATTAGCCGCAGCAAGGTGGGTGCACATGCTACGGTTGTGGCCAGTGATGATCACGCCGCACTTGCCGGTAGGCTGGGCATCATCCACACGGTACTCGGTGTGCACACCAGCCTTGGTGCAGGTTTCCTTCAGGATATCGGCATACTTATCACGGCCGACACATCCAATGTAGAGAACAGAGTTGTCGGGGAGAATGTACTAACGGGTGACATTATAGTTAATATACGAATTATCAAAAAAAAAAAGAAGAAAAGATTTCAAACATAGTTCAGACCATACCTGAGCGCCACGAGCAGTGTTCTGGGCGGCACCACCGGCAATCAACTTAGCATCATGGTTCTGCAGCAGTTCCTCATAGAGGCCCATGTGCTTATCCTCGGCGAGAATAGCATCGTTGTCCTTCAGACCATACTTCTGGAGAAGAGCAGCATCACTATATGGTACTGTATCAGTACATGTACTATATTGTAACAATATTCTCAATGGCCAAGGTCTGTAACATACCCAACAGCTTGGATATCTGTATATTACAAGCAGAAAAGTACTTGCATTAGCATTGTCCCCAGATCACAAATTTTACAGTTTCTATCAAGCCAGATAGGATAATAGTCTTCACGTACCGAGGAGAGGGTTCTCCAAGCAAAGAAAAGGGTATCCTTGAGCGGCAGCCATTGTCGTTTATGTCAACAAGGAAAGTGCGTGTAAAGAAAGGATGAGTGGAGGAGACGGGTGGAGAGGAAGTAAAAAGGTCAAGAAAGAAAATCTCTAAGGGGAGGAAGAAGAGGAGAAGGTGAGGGTGAGAATGCAAGAAAAGGTGGGGGAGGGATGATGGTCCGGAGGGGCAGCAACAGAAAGAGACCCGGATCATATGCCGTACCGTACTGTACGGAGCGTATTGCATCGCATCAGGGGAGTGCAAAGTCCCCGATGTCCGTCTGCAACTCTCCATACTACAAACACCTCTTTTCCTGTTATCATCGCATAACTTACAGCGTTCGTCTTCCACAATGACTGATCCAGCCCTAGGCATCGCTGAGACCATTCAAACGGCCTCTATCAACCCGGAACCATCCCCAAGCCATGACATCAATCCTCCGACCGCATCTTCGGAGAAGAAGCCTGTCGCTGAAGATGCGCTATCCGAGGCTGGCAGCATCCCATCCGACGTCGTGGACCCTCATCGAATGATCAGACCCGCTCCAAGGCGGCATAATCTTCCTCCAATGCCTGATTTGCGCTTCGAACAAAGCTATCTGGCCAGCATACGGGGTGCTGAGACTTGGGGTCGTGTTGCATGGATCACCGTTCGAGATCAGGTATGCCTCCGACCTACTTTTACAATAAATAAAGGGATAAAATAAAATAAAAGCTCTCAAAACAAACACTTAAGGCTCATGCACCTATGTTCTTTTTTAGGTTCTTCTCCCTCTGATCCAAGGTACCCTCTGGACCCTCGCTCTCTCCGGTTGGCGATTCTGGAACCGCAACGCGTCTCTCAGTGGCCAGACATTGGGCAGCAGAATTCGACGATGGTGGTACGAAGTAAATAACTGGAAACTCCCTCCCCTCCCGTCAATGAAGGACCGTAAGCTTGCTGCACAGGCAGAAGACGTGAGTGACCCCCTGCCCTGTTCCTGTTATCTGATCTGATAGTGTAGCTGTGTTCAGCTCGAGTAACGTAACTATTCTGATTGAAGCTGACATTCTCGGAGTTCTTACAGTTCTATAAGACTCAGTTCTCAAACGCCGGTGCCGACTAACTGATTAAAATAAAGTGCGATTTTCCCGGATTTTGGTTGCATTTTAGGAGTTCAGGTTACGGCGTTACGAATATAGATCACTTCGATGGTCTGTCTGTATCTTATGTTTCTTAAGCCCACGGGTGCGCACATTCATGCACAGTTGGTTAAACTCTTGTAGACATTTCAATGGAGCTCTTCTCTTAGTAAAAATGTTATCGTAGGACATTCATATAAAGGCCAACCTGCTGTCTAGAAGTCGCGAAAACTCATGACCACGACCTACTTGCAGGCTAGCACGGACTTTTCCTCGGACACTAAACAGACAAATTACCACCACATAAACGCCTTGGGAGACTCCATTGTCTTGCTCGCGTGTACAATAGAACACGAGTGAGAAGATACGCTCCAGCATGAACTCTCTCAATATAGCCGCTCATTCAACGCCCGGGAGTACGTGGCTTCAAATGCTTTGAACCCCCTCGTTTGAACCAGCAGCAGGCGCCGGTTGACAGGGATGTGACCCGGTGCTCATAGTGACCCGAGCAGCTTCAGCACCTCCCTCGGGCTGGCCGTTTGCCTCATTTCGGAGGTCAGTCTTTTGCCCCTGAGGTCCATCCTCCCCTATCGTAGAAACGGTTGGCTTCGTTGCGTCTGATGATGGTATATATTCCGGAGGCGCAGGTTCAATCGCTATTTCCAGTTTATTCCCCACGCTACCCCCTGATAACATGTCACTAGGACCATTGGGGCTGCTCGGCACTTTCCCCTTACCGTATCTGAGCTGCACAACCAGGCTCGGGTTTTCTCCGTTCACTATCGACTCGTCACCACTCAACTCTTCTTCATCGTCACCTTCGAAATCGTTATCTTCTTCCTCCTCTCCACCCTGCCACTCCTTTCCGCTGGAGTGTCCCTCATCAGATTCATCCAGTTCGTCATCCACGTTGTAGCCGGTATATCCATTTGCTCGGGTAGACCGTGTCCTCTGAGGCTTCCCCGAGTCTTCTGCATCAGCTGGCTCATCACGCTGGCCACTGAGCAAACTTTCCCCATACATTCCTCCTGCGCGCGAACGTATCTGCCTTCCACTAGCGGTAAACCTGGGACCCACAGGTTCTGCGGGTGAAGAAATGCCTGAGGTGTTGCGTGTGGATCGTCGAGTCGAAGGCAAGCCATCGGAAAAGATATCCTCATCATCAGAGTATGTGTACTTCAGTTTCTTACCACGGGTACGGCCTTCATACAGAGAAAATCCAGGCTCGGGCCTAGAAAATTGTGCCTTACGCGCAATGCGATAGTCTCTGCGTTTACGTTTCTTACAACTAATGAGCAAGGGTAAGACGGCAGCGGAGGATCATAACTTACCTCTTCCGAGCCCTCGAAGCGAGGAACTGAATTCTTGATCTTCTCGCTGAGCTTCTTCGAATGCGTGCTTTTCTCCTCATCTAGTTTGTCTGCAACCGCCTTCAACTCGGGGATCGTTCCTGCCACGCTCCACCAAGTGACATTCTTGAGCGCTGGGTTGCTCTCACGGTACAACCTAAAGTGGGTGTCATCTAAGCCTTCGACAAGCCAATATCGACGCTTCAAGCCATCGCGACCCCATGGTTGAACGGAAAGTGGTTGGTTCAGGTCGTCTTCATGTCGTGCTTGCTTGTATGACTCTTTGATCTTTGCTTGAATCGCTTCGGAGGAGGAAAGGGACCAGAGGATCAGCGATTTCAGTAATCGTAACTACAGCGTGTTAGCTATCTAGTGTATTTCATATAAGTTGCGCAGAACGTACGCGTTCTTCTGGGGCCATTCCTGTGAAAGTGCGACCCCCGTGAAGAGGGTTCTTTCCCTGCCAAGCCTTGGGCCACTGGGACACATGGGTTTGGATCGCTTCTTCCAGAGGGCGTGTGTAATGAAGTCGACTGCGCATTCATGATAGCTAGTCAGCCTTTTGTCATTATCCTTGAACATCCTGGTTGTAGATAAAAGGGAGCTCGCATGCGCCCTTCGTAGTGTAGTGGGAACTGCGTGATAGGTGGTATCCATACTCCACGTCCTTCTTCCTGTTTAACACCAGGCCAAGCAACGCACACAGCAATCTCTCAATGTGCTCCCCGGGAGGCGAGTCTGCAACGCCTCTCTCAATGTCTTGTGGTCCGTAATGTGGCGTCGATCGTGGGAAGACATCATGAAAACGCGCGCGGAACATTACAATGAACTTTTAGTTGCGACTAGTCAGCAAACATGTTCACAAGTCCATATACGCGTCATATAAACGCGTAGGATTTTATAGGGCCAGCAATTGATGGATAGCTCACTGCAATGTCCGGGTTATCTGCTAAAACATATTCATGTGGTGGTGAAGGTGCCCGTTTCGGCGGCGGAGATTCTGATTCCTTCTTGAAGTACTTGGTGATGCCCACAGGCTCATCAACTGCCATGGGAGCAGACTCATCATCCGATGGTGGCGCTGATGATAGCGACGAGAGATCCGAGTCAGAAAGTGACATGTTAGACATGTTTGCTGAAGTTGGAAGTGGTTGTGTTGAAAAGGAACGGAGGTGGGCGAGTGCGCGCCGCAGGAAGTTCCATTGCACTACTACTGCCGATTAATGGAGCGCGGCTTTTACGCGCCTGGCCTGTCTGGCGTCATCAATGGCCACCAATATCAAGGTATGCTCACAACCCGATCACAGCAATGTATTCTCTAACATTCAATTTTATTCTGGGCTACATCTAGAGTACTGAACAGGGGATTGAGCATTGATGACCTCATAATGCGAACCTGAGACGCTGTATGAGACAGCGTATGATCATTTCGTAGAAACATGGAGGACCAAATGACAAATCAGTTTTTTTGAAAGAGAGCTAACAATGAGCAATCCCATTGAGAACTTGTCATCTAACGTTAGTTTACTCCGTACAGAAGGCTGGACAATGAACACGGCGCTAGCTCCTTACTGTGGCCGGGAGATGCCAAGGATCAAAGCGATTACCATGAGTCACATATCAGATTCATTGATCTGCTCGTTCAATAGCTTTTCTTCCTATGCAGCGGATACCAGTGTAGGATTGATTCAAGCGACCACTGTTGCAGTGTCTCGGGCGTCATCAGACAACTTTCCGCGTTGTGGTAGCTGTGAACCAAGGCTCTGTGGTACTCCAAATTCGGGAATTGTATTCTTTCCCAACCTCTCAAAGGCTGTTGAGGGGTATATTGCTTTTGTCAACCCATCTCCATGTAAACCTCACTTAATCATGCATGGAGCAATGAAGGTCGAAGACCATTAATGCAGTCAAGCAGCAATACTACCCAACAATGTCAATCGATGACAGGAATCCTAACCGGCGTAGATAGAACCATCATCAAAAGACTGTTTCACCACGATATATTCGTAGAGGTAGGTATGTGATTGGGGGAGGTCGTGTATTGCAACACGCCTAGTGGTCACCGAGTGCAGCTGACAGAGTAGCCTAACAAAATCAGATTAAGAAATTGGAGGTCTAGCCTTTGACTGGATTATCGGATTGTGTACCAGTTGTGCTTATCAAACAAGTCAGCCACCTAGGTGGTCGCATGAACTGTTACTCCGTCAGAATGCTCGGTTGTTCTTAAAGTCCATGGTTAATGTGACGGTTAGCCGCGCCGCCAAACCCACAGCCGCGCGAGAGAGGCGCACGGAGACGCTAGTCCGAGCTCGGTTAGATTAGCGACCGCGCCCTAAAGCCCACACAGCCCTTCCGCCGACGAATTCTCACCACCAACCCGACAAGCCCATCTTCGATTTGAGGTACGAGCACTTGATAAACTCCCACACCGGGTCGCAGGGGTCTTTCTTCTTGTATACTAACCTCCAGGTCTCTATCCAGATAGTCGCCATGGGTCGCGTGATCCGCAACCAGAGGAAGGGTCGTGGATCCATTTTCAGTGAGTGCGACCGCAGAGTTGAGCGAATTCCTGAAGACCAAAATTGCTGATAACAACTTCGCCTCCAGCGGCCAACACCCGTCTCAACAAGACCCCTGCTCAGTTCCGTGTCCTTGACTTCGCTGAGCGCCATGGATACACCCGGGGTGTTGTGAAGGAGATCATCCACGACCCCGGCCGTGGTGCTCCTCTCGCTAAGGTCCAGTTCCGTCACCCTTACAAGTTCAAGCACGTTACCGAGACCTTCATCGCCAACGAGGGCATGTACACTGGCCAGTTCATCTACGCCGGAAAGAACGCCGCCCTGACCGTCGGCAACGTCCTTCCTCTTTCCTCCGTCCCTGAGGGTACCGTCGTCACCAACGTCGAGGAGAAGTCTGGTGACCGTGGTGCTCTTGGTCGTACCTCCGGTAACTACGTTACCGTCATTGGCCACAACCCTGAGGATGGCAAGACCAGAATCAAGCTTCCTAGCGGTGCCAAGAAGGTTGTGAAGAGCACCTCTCGTGGTATGGTCGGTATCGTTGCTGGTGGTGGTCGTACCGACAAGCCTTTGCTCAGTATGTCTTGGACCCTGTTGATTGCCTTGATTTTGCCAAAAAAAATTGGGGTAAATGGGAATTGAATGCTAATATCACATTACAGAGGCTTCTCGTGCCAAGCACAAGTTCGCTGTCAAGCGCAACTCCTGGCCCAAGACTCGTGGTGTTGCCATGAACCCCGTTGATCACGTAAGGAATCCTTGTCTTCTGCTTGTGAAAAACTTATTCTCTGACCTATCTGTTTTATAGCCTCACGGTGGTGGTAACCACCAGCATATTGGTAAGGCTTCTACCATCTCCCGCTACGCCGCCCACGGTCAAAAAGCCGGTCTTATCGCTGCCCGGAGAACCGGTCTGCTCCGTGGTACCCAGAAGACCAAGGACTAAGGGTTTTATGGTGTGGAGTTTTTTTGTTTGTGACGGGTTCAAAATGCTCTTTTGCTATGAGGCACATGTACTTAGGCGACTGCGGATAACCTACCACGCGTCCTTAGCGAAATAAGGTTGTGGCCAACAATTTCATTGATGATTAAAACAAAAAGAGGGGGCCAGAAATCGAGTCTCTATGTGCATCTCATAGCATTTGCCAAAAACTGATTATGAATACTCGTTAATACCAAAAAATGAAGAATATTTCCTTGTTTGTTCATGGCGGACTGATTTCCTTAATCTGTATATTTTGTTCAGTCCTTGTAGGTTTCATATACCCCCAAGCCTAGTGCTCCGCTTTCTTGAATCTGTCATCTGTTTATCTGAGAGCACCAGGCATGATCCACTTGTTGCGCTTCTACTATGTAGTTCATGTTGTTCCATGATTGCTATGTTCGAGATTCAATTAGGTGCATTTATGGTGTGGTCTTGGCGCTGCTATTACGGGGAAGTGGGCATAATCTAGTTATCCATGGGGTAATGAATGATACAGTAAGTCATGCGGTCTCTGCAATCCAGGTTGTATATAAATTCGCATTGGTCTTAAGCACTTGCGTGTCGAATGAGTTTCTCGAATGAGTTTCTCGGTATATCCATACACAGTATGCCGGATGGTTTGTACGCCCGAAGGTTTCTGGAGGCAAAAAAAGGATTGATATTAAATTGACCAATCAGCGGCGCCATATGGATGTCACTGGCACTTCATAAACCAAGCGTACCCCCCAGAGACAGACTTTCTTCGAACAAGTATCCTCCATGAATTGTCTCATCGTCCCATAAACCTATACAAGGGCATATAGCTCATCTTACGTGATGAATCAGGAGAATCTACCCCTGGAACTACCTCGTCTGCCCGCCTGTGCCTCGCCGACCCTGTCCGCCACCGCCCGCTGGCAGGCAGTGGTCCGCCGAGATGCCACAGCCGAATCATTTGTGTACGCTGTGTTAACGACCAAGATATATTGCCGGCCATCATGTCCAGCTCGTCTCGCCCGGCGAGCAAATGTCCAATTTTACGACACGCCCTCGCTGGCCGAAAAGGCAGGTTTCAGACCCTGCAAGCGCTGCAAACCACAATCCCTGCGGGCGGGTAATCCTCAGGCTCAAGTGATACAGAGGGCATGTAAAACCATCCAGTCAGAGATAGCGTCCGGCTCCAAACCGACACTGCGGGAACTGGCTAGTCAGGCATGCCTCACGCCAAGTCACTTCCATCGGGTGTTCAAAAAGCTCGTGGGCGTCACGCCCGGGCAATATGCTGTTGCCATTCTCAAGGTCGCCCCTAGGGCCCCCTGGATGACTGCAGCCAAAATACGAGTATTACGGAATTGAAACCATGCGGTGTTCGCCCTGATGACTATGCGCCTTTTTTATCCTGCGGCTTGGAGAGTGACGATGTGTTCGATCCTGGAGATATTATAAACTGGAATGATTTTGACACTTTGATAGCCACGGAAGCTGCGTATGAGGCTGAATTTGATGTACAATTTATGGACGACTTCATCTCATTACCCAAGGAAGATGCCGCAGGTGCCACTGAGCACTATGGCCAAGATATTGGTGATGCCATATTGCAACACGAACAAACAAGTCGCCTAGACGGCGGCATTCACCTCACAGGTGTGGAGACTGCCATGCCATCCTGAAATAGTGGCTTGCTTCTTGACAGGCAGGACTTCATGAGATACTGGATAATCCCTGCATAGGGGGTCCGCTTGGCGCAACCAGGACGGTGGTTAGGCCGTGTTTGTTCTGCTGAATACCTGTCCATTGATCCGTGGAAAAGGAGAAAAACTGAAGTGGGAGGAGAACAGATGTACTAAATAACCTGGATTCAGTATGGGCTAATCGCTCCACTCTCCCAGGGGTCCTCAGGAGTCAGATGGTCAACCTGAAGTAGATGGGTAGAGCTGGGCCACCATGGAGTCAGTGCTTCTGGAGAACTGATATGCTTCGCCGATCATCAACCCCGACCTCTCCATTACAGGCGAATTGCAGGTTGTATTGAAAAGTATGGACTTGGTGTACTGTGTATTGAGATGAAATCTACCCACTCAAATACGGAGTAGTTCGCCTTTTTTTTATATCACTTTTGCACCAGGATCTGCAAGAGTATCCCACCGGGGCTTCTAGACTTTTCTCCAGAAAAACATCAAATGGAGTTTCATGTACTCCGTATGGAGAGGGTGGTCTAGTGCTACAGGCTAACACCCTTCCAGTTTACATGACTTAAACTGCCGAACGGCCATGCTAATACAGCACATGATAGTACAGACTAGATTTAGTTGTGTAATATTACATCAATTGTTCGATGAAGGTATACAGATGTACCCCTTTTAGACTACTCTAGATATGGTAGTTCTGGAGAAACACTGGTGGACTAGAGAATCTGCACTGTTCCGAAAATAGTTCAGTGGCAACGTTTGAAGACTGGCAATCTGAGCAGAGAGTTGTGGCATCGCATCCCCACTCCTTGCCCCACAAAAACGCGTGTCACCTGTTGCAGTTGAATCAAACTGGCCTATGAGGCTTCATTGTGTGATACACTCTAGTCGCAGATAATAATAATAGACTTCAAACCATCCATCCAACAGGCTAAGGTTTCAGGTACACCTAACTTTCCTCGCCATATACACAGAACATGAACATTGAAGCTAACAATTGGTGCCAATCATACGGGCAACCGTCCCCACCTTTAATAACAGTAAATAACTACGTAATTTATTAGTAGTTATACAAGAATCACTTACCAAGTTATTTTACCCTCAAGGGTCTAGACATACGAGTACGTACGACGGAACCCGGTGGAGACTGCAAGGTATTGTATGGTAAAGGCAAAGTCAATCCAATGTGATCCATGTGGCGTTTCTGCTCCCTCAAATCCATGTTTTTGTCAATGCCCATGAGTAGCATTGTTGTTCTCTATCAAGGGTAAAAAAAAAAAGTATCTTTGTAATTTGTCGGTGGTAAGCTGAAACAAATAGAGGAATTAAAATCGATTAAAACAAAAATAAATTACCACCATTGAATCATGAGAGTCATAACAAGTAAATAGTACTGTGTAGTAGTAACATTCCATCAGTCTTTAATCCCTGCGCATCCTCTCACCCACTTGGTGTTTCGCATCCTTTCTTTCCACCTTCCACTTCCCCCCCCTTCCCCCTCTGTCTCCCTCCCCCTTTCTTTTACTACAGGCCAAGTCTTTATACCTCGATTGAAATTCGCTATATTCTCTTCACTATTCTCCTCATACATCACCGCGGGGAAGGTCGTTTTGAAGGTCGCGTGCCCATCTGCGCTTGGCCGTTCTTTTCCTCTTTCTTTTCTTTTCTTTTCTTTCTGCCAATCTGCTGGCCAGATCAATCTAGCTTTATCTCCAATTCCTTTTAGCTTCTCTACCAATCGTCTAATTCTATCGCCTACTATACTCGGCCACCATGAACGTCAACAGGAAGTTTGATCGCTTCAAGCAATGGGCGGGAGAGAGGATGGGTGGTGAGGTCAAAACCAATCTCTCGGATGATTTCAAAGCCATGGAGACAGAAATGGGCGTGCGGAACGAGGGTGAGTCCGCCGATATATACTAAAGCTGGAAGGATTCGTTTAGTGGCTGACTTTTCGACAAGGTCTTGATCGCCTTCATAAGTCCATGATTGCCTACGTCAAAGCCGTCTCGAAGCGCAGCGAAGGCGATGACAAAGAGAAGACATTGCCCGTTGGTCATTTGGGCACTAGCATGGTCAGCCATGGCGAGGACTATGACGCCAATTCCGAATACGGCCGTTGCCTGACAAGTATGTTATCACTCGTGACACCTCCTCGACCTCCCGGACATCCACGTGTCTAACTATTATATTTCCTATTGCACAGAGTTCGGACGGACGGAGGAGCGCATTGCTCGCCTCCAGGAGTCGTATATCGCAGAGGCGAACTCAAGCTGGCTTGAGTCCCTGGACCGGTCCTTGGCGCAGATGAAGCAGTACCAGGTAAATTCCTCACAGTTACTAGATATCGCCGCGACATGTCTAATATCTTATATAGAATGCCCGCAGGAAACTCGACAGCCGGCGGTTGGCTTTTGACACTTCACTGTCCAAAATGCAGAAGGCAAAGAAGGAGGATTTTCGCGCAGAGGAAGAACTTCGAACCCAAAAGGCTAAATATGAGGAGGCCAACGATGATGTATACCGGCGGATGCAGGACATCAAAGAAAGTGAAGTAGAGAGTATTGCAGATCTGGAAACATTTTTGGAGGCGCAATTGAACTACCACGAGAAGTGCAGAGAAGTGCTTCTCCAACTCAAGAATGATTGGCCTGGCCGGTGAGTATCTGTACATTGGCAAGAAAACGTCTCCCACAGTTGTGTTAATTATTCTATGACAGGCAATCTCAGATACAAAGCTCGAGTGGCCGGCGCCCTGGCCGTGCCCGTGCTAGCACAGCCCATTCGTATCAGGAGCGTTACGAACCCCTGCATGAGGAACTTAGTAACTCGGCAGATCTGCGCCCCATTATTCGGTCAAGCAGGTCTCCGTCCGATGTGGAGGACCCGAGAGAAGTCTATGCCCCAGAGCCTGTACCGCAGAGACCTTTCCTCAATAGGACTTCAACGTTCGAAAGTCCAGCACAATTACGACAGGAACAAGCATACAGCCCAGGTCCTCGACCATATAGAGTGCCTAGCGAGAATTTTATTACCGGCAGGAATAGTGTTCTGACTCGGATGGCCGCCGATCCGTCTGAGGACACCAGCTCGCGATCTGGCACTAGCCCCGATAGAATGTACCAGGGACGGTCTGATTCCCCGGCATCATCATTCGGGGGTGTCACGAGAAGAAGCAGTTCGACTACATTGAACGGGGCTGCGGTACAGAAAAAAGCACCTCCACCCCCTCCACCTTCGCGCGCGAAGAAGCCGCCACCGCCGCCACCGCCTATGAAAAAGCCTATACTCAGTGCTGGCGAGGCATAGGCTCGCCTTACCATTAATCATCCCTAGGATTTCTGGGGGTTTGTGGTGGATAGATCACAATGGGGTGTCATGGCATTTTTTTTCATCTTGCGAGGCTTTTGAGATCATATCTACTATCTGCTTGCCTGCGGTGAGTGGCAGTAGATGATCAGTTTACTATTGATGATAGTCATTGGCGTGTAGTAGTATGCGGCAGCATTTGTATTTGTAATCGTGCAGAGATGCTCTCAATAAGCTTTTGTTTATATTCAGAATGAACCATGTTCTCCACTGGTGCATAAATATCTTCAGCGTATATATAAATTCATCTCGTCAACGGTGTCGAAGTTCTAGTATACAGATATGAGGAGGTAACGATTTGATGTAATGGGGGGAGTTGAGTATATGTGGGATCTGATGGAATTAAGAAGGGTGTTATAAATATATCTCCGTTGGTCTCGTTATCCATTCACCTCCAAAGACCCGACAACTTGAACCCAGCTTGCGTTGAATTCCTCTGGATAACCGATTAATCTACGAGTTAGGTGCTCACCCGTGAGCCCGTTTGATGGCCATTCGGTTTAGTTAGGATTGGGCTGTAGTAGATGTGGTTTGGTTAGCATAGAAAGAATTCAAATGGAAGTCTCACTTTATATATATTCTGCCGCAGCTTTAGTACCCTGGAATTGAGCCAAGAAGCCCATTTAGCAAATACCCCAATGGATGACCATCTAGTATGAGCATACGGCCATATTCCCGGATAGAGTTGTTTTATTGCTGGTCTTGCTAATACCTAAGCCATCTCTGATAGCTTGGTTTCAAGGTGGTTAGGGACGTGATGGACTAGTCCAAACTAAGGATAGCTGAAGCTCAAACTAGTAAATAACCGGCGTCTTCCTATTTGCCTCCTCAAATCCGAATACGACCCGGCGGGATGGATGAGTCAGCACAGCGTCACGTGCGGGCGGCACGAAATCTTCTTCCAACGTCTCGCCGCCTACCTCTCCTCGTTACAGGCAAAGGCTGAGCACAGCCAGTTTCCCCGACCAGCACGGAAAGTCGCGAAAGCCCCGTCCCCTCCATCTCCATTTCATCCATACAGGCCTTCCACGCGCCCTTTTCAGCGCGACCCCTCCATTTGGGGTCTCCATCACCCATTTAGCATCGCGTTGGGCCACCCCCCCTTCCCTTATTACTGATTCTTTCCGATCGGTCGCCTACCGCCCTGTATCTTCCCATCCCAAAACATCACGAAACTTGTCGCCAAGGTCCAGATACAGGCCGCTATCAGTCGCATCCATCGATACAAGGCTCCCACTCCTCCTCCACGTCTATAAATTGGCGCGCTTTATCGCCCTATAGCTGCGAATTATCGTTCACCCTAACTACACTCGTTTTCCACGTGTTCCCCTAGCTGCTTGGTCGCGGATCTTGTCGCATCTAGGTCAACCCCAACGTGTTTACTCCGCCTATGAACAGTAAAACCACGCGCTAAAACATGGCTTCCCTTCAGTCAGCACCAAACATGGCGACTGGGAACATGAGCCTGCCGCCAAATTTGACGCAGCAGCATATTCAAGAGGTTTTTCAGGTACGTCGCCTGGTCAATTCTTCGCTCTAGCTCCCACGCCCTACTTATCGTTTTGTTTCCTTTTTTCCTCTCCCTTGTCAATTGTTTGGCAATGCCACCTTCA